GCAGATTCTTTAATCTCCAAAAAATTCTCGATCAGATAACACATTTAAATTGTAAACTGTATTTTATAGAAACTTTAGTAAATACGAGTAACAGTGTGTGTTTTATAATTTCAAACAAAACAAACCGCATTTGCCTCAGGGGACAGTCAACATATCAAATACCCTGAATAATTAATACCACCACCTAACAGAATAACTAATTAACGATTTGAATCAGTGTATCGAATGATGTGTACATAGTATTACATCCAAACATCACGAACGCTGACGCAGTGTGCGTAATATCCCTTGGGTTAATAGACAATCGGATATTTCGGCGTCTCATCAACTGCATATTGATGATGGGTCGTCGATATCTGATGTCTAAGCTTGCGCATACATCTCATAAATGTTTTTCTTCGATCACCGACGCCGACAATGCTTAAATATTTAATCAACTTAAATCATTGCCTATTAACCTTTCGTTAATACTTAAATATTCCGATATTCAAGGGCAGACACTAGTTTGATTCCAATAATAATTCAATTTAACCTTTCGTGATATATTTGTGAGTAATTCCAACTTGTTGAACTTTTTTTATACGAAAAAAAGTGATGAGTATTTTAACTTTGCGTCTGGCTGCCATAGAAATAACAAAATGTAGAAAAGTTGGGAAAATTACACATCTCGCAGCGCAAAGAAACTGGAATTGACTGCAAGTCAAATTTTGTTGTTGTTTCTCCGCTTGGGTTAACTTGTATGAGATAAAGTTGTTGTTTTCGTGCGTGGTGCGCATTCTTATGTTGTGCGCGCGTGTTTATTGTGTGTAAAAGAGTAAAAAGCCAAAGAAACTAAAGAAATAAGCAACTTACCTTGTGTAATTAAGGTGGTAGTGATCAGGAACATCATGGGCAAGGCACAGAACACTCGCAAATTGAATATTTAGTGATTAAACGTAATAATTTGTAAGAATATAACGTTTTTACGCGCGTAAAAACCGTTACAACCTCTATATTGCACGCAGAGTGGCAGTGAACGCGCGATAACGCGTTTGCTACGCGCGTGAGCCGAACTTACCCGAACTTACCCGAGCATTAGAAGACTGTCGAGTATAGTATGTGTGAAGTGTGCAGCATTCGCGCAGAAAAGAAATCAGCAATATCTATATATATAAAAATGAATTGCTGTTCGTTAGTCTCGCTAAAACTCGAGAACGGCCGAACGGATTTATCTTATCTTGGTCTTGAATTATTCGTGGAGGTCTAGGGAAGGTTTAAAAGGTGAGAAAAATTCGAATAATTGCCGGGAAAATCCTCAAAACAGCTCTTTTCTATAGAATAAAATTTGACATTGAGATTCAATCATAGTTATAGTTAAATAGTTGAATTCGAGATGGCGCGCTGAAGTGCATTATTGACAAAACTTTATATAATTAATTTCTTTAAATTAAAATTGCTAATCTTATTGATAGAATTGACTCTTACTACGAGTATGTCTAGAACAAGAGAATAAAAACGAATTACATTTTTATTAAACACTGCCGGAACGAAGTCGCGGGCAACAGCTAGTAGGTAATATAAAAACAAAAACAAAAATAAAATAGGTAATAAATGATATAATAGTACAAGGTTTTGTTGAGTTTGATGATTGCTGATGTCTATATCAGTTTTAGTCGTAGTTTATATTCTGTGTTACGTAAAGGTAGCGTCAGCATCTGTAATCTGTCTTTTTATGACCCGCCAACATGTGCGTTTGGTTGCAGCACATGCTGACGCACAAAGAAACAAATATTAGGCAAGCAAATCGTAAAACGTGAAGAAAATTGGTTATGTCGTAACTTTGGCAGCGCAAATTATATGTAGGATATTTTAGGATAATTTCAATTTGTATATTGTTTGTTTTCAGTGTAAATATTTATGTTCATTATGATCACTTGTTATTTATTGCCTGGGGAAATGCTAAGAAAACATGATGAAGAGAAAACGCTGCGTAATTATGCTAATGACACGTGGAAAATGAATGGAAATGAATGAAAATCAAAATAAGCGAAAGTGTGTCACACGTGCACTTTTGCTGTTATTTTAAGTTAAATTTTATTATAATTTTAGGTCAAATTAAATTAAATTTTTGTTTATTCGAAAAATTAAAGCCAAAAGTTATACCTAAGTAGTTAATCATTAATATTCAAAGAAAATTAAGCATCACGCTGAGTTCTACGTCAATTATATTAAGACTAGCTTTATCCCGCGGCTTCGCTCGCGTTGAATCCATCAAATAAATATTAGAAATCAATGAAGTTGCTTCCGTACGCGTCTGTAGTCACAGAAGAAGTAACAATGAAGTAGAATGGCGGGAAGTTTAAAATGGCCGAAAGTATAGTCTATGGAAGTATAGTGTACAGTCTCCATAGTGTAGTCAATTGGATTTGATGTTGACGTAGCTGTCGGTAATACAGTGTGATAATACAGTGTGATGGTACTATAGTACTTAGGTTTGAGCTTCATTGCTGGAATGCTAGATGGCGTTAAAGTAGTCAAATAGCCAGATGCAGAGGTATTATTGGCTAAACAATTTCTTTATTTTATTTAAAAATAATTTTTTTATTAAATAAAAAGTAGCCTATAACCATTCGGGGACCACTAAGAATATGTGCATAAATTTTCATGGTGATCTGTTAAGTAGTTTTTGCGTGAAAGTGTAACAAACATCAGGACTTTCGCATTTATAATATTAGTAGGGATTTATTTCATTATTAAGTTATAATTTCATTCAACTTGCATATAAATTCAAAATATTCATTTAATTTGAATTATTTATGTAAATATAAAAATAAATAACAAGATTTGGATATAATCTAAAGCGTAAATTGTATTTTAATGTGTTTTATATAAAAGTTTTTAAATCTATTAGATACATCTGCATTTTCCTCGAAATGCAGATATTTCACTCTTTAGCGTGGAAAAAACTGAAAAACATGACAGTGTTTGCATGAAAATGAGACAGGGAATTGCAGGAAAACGAATATTGTTGCAGCAAACACCCTTGCGTGTTGTAAACTGTTTGGAAAATGGAAAATAAGTTGAACACAGAACAATATTTTATTACTTTTTGAACTAAACAGCAAAAAAATATTTTTACGTTTTTTTGTTATTACACGGTTTTTATAAGAAGAAAACAATAGATTTGATCAAATAATAAGTTAATAACCAAAAAAAATAAAGAAAATGTCAGAGAAAATCCGATTTATTAGCAAGATTAACTTTGTTTCCTTTCATGTGACAGAATAAAACTCTCCTCGGTCAGTTACTGATCAGAAACTGCAGAGAAAAGCGCAAAATGCACAAAAAATTAATTACTTTACGAAATCATTAACTGTTTTTAAGATTTTTAATATATTAATCTCCTTCGCAAGCCTAACAAGTGTAACCATTTACGTTTTTGCCGTTTTTTAATCCTCTTTCTTAATTACAATTTTTTATACTCGCAAAAGCACTCGATTGAGTTTTACAGGAATCTGTAACGGAAAAAACGCGTCAATTAATCTTTCCTTCATTTTTACTTCATTGGTGTACCTACACTGATTTTTCTCACATAATATTGTTTTTATTTCATGTGCAACGTGCAAAAAACAAGTAAATCTAAATGATTTATGTAAAACCAAAGTTTATTGAGCCTGTAATAATCTATTCTGAATAGCGCAGCGCAGCGCCTGAAAACCTCCGATGTCGGCAACTTTACTATCTTGTTCGCCCGCTGCGAACACACACGCAATAAATTCTTATCGTAATCCACTCAACACGCCACCGCTGGACTCGAAAGTATCGAATATACATACATTCGACATTCCACCAGCAGTCGACAGCGACGAATTACTTTTATTCTGCGTTGGTTACAAGTTACATCATTAACCAAACTGAGAAACATTTTTCGCCGCGCACACAAAAAAAAAGCTGATATTTTTTCAGTCAACACGGCGATGTTTTCTTTAATGCCATTCGAGTGCTTGTTTAGGTACGTGTGTTTTGGGTGGTGTGTTTTTCTAGTGCCAAGCGCTTGAAAGGTCAAGTAATTGAGGTCAGCCTAAACTAACGCCATCTATGTGAATTTATATAAATTAATTTTTTTTTTGAATAAAACTATAAAACGTGTACGTCAGTAAGAAAAATTTACTCGTGTGTACAACAAGTCGTAAAAATCATTGCGTATCGTAAAGATGAAGGTTTAAAACTCGAAATTGACTTGAAGAAGTCAAATTGTCTAAATATTAGTGTGGAAAGCTTACTTTGATCCACATATTGCACCGTAGACAGATTTTATAGTTTTGTTTCGATTGCGTTCGCTCATATTTCGTAATTTTTTACTTTTATCATCAAAATAACCGTCATAAACATCTACAATACTCCTAACGCCACCTACCAGCGCAAAAATGAACTAATCTAAGGCGTATTCACGTTTTAATATTGTATAATGTAGATTAAATGATGTACAAAGTTAATTACGCTAAATTAATATTAATTGCGCTGTATTTTCATGTAAATGTCGACATAATAACAATTAACTTCAGCTTCAATTTAAATTTGGAGGTTAGAATGCAAAATACAGTCATTATGTGAACGTAAAACACATTATCACTCAATTAAATGTTCTCGACGCGCTGGGGAAAAACATGAAAAGCGGAAAACAGGAAAACCGATGAGATTAAAACCGAAAAGTTGTGATGCGGCGTTTTAAAGCCGCTTTGAAAGGCTTTCGAATAGATTTTCAAGTTGAATCAACCAAAACAGAACAATATATAGGTGTGTATTTGGTTGCATACCATCTGTTAATTAATATTCTGGTATTGTTTGTTCTAAATGTAAAAAATCAATTTATTGCCTCCGAATATAATCAAATAATGCAGTTAAACCAGAAGTAAATCATATTTACACAGAGATTATTTGCGCATGCGTATAACAATGTTTGCATATTATATTTATGCGTTTAAATGTAATATAACTCAGTTGTTTTTGTTCTGTTGCAGAGAACAGCACAGAATGTGAAGGAATAAATTCAGCGTTATTCAAAGAAGACTGAAGGCTAAACAATAACTTAAAACACTATTAAAATGTGTTAATATTAATAAATATTAATCTCTAATTAATTAATTAATAATCTTGTGAATTATAAACACAATGGCGTCGTGCAATCATTCAAATTGTTTTCCAATTGAACGTTTGGAGGTTACCAATGTGACACTGGCAGTAGCGCTCACAGCAAGCAGCGCCATCTCCACGGAAACCAACGAAACTATAAATGTCACTACAAATTCGATGTTTGACGGCATCAGTGATGAAGAATTCATTTACGATCACACCTATGTGCGCATCATCTTCATCACCTTGTACAGCATCGTGTTCTGCTTGTGTTTCTTCGGTAAGTGATGAGAATATCTGTCTTAGGAAAAAATAAAATGCAGCCCGGCGGCAAATGGGACGTTATTAAAACTTTCATTTCTGCGGCGGTGAAAAAGACGGCTGTTTTTCATTGTGATATTATGACATGTTGTGTCGCGATGTTGTGTCGTCTGCATTCCTCATTAAAATGCTTCGGGCAAGCACTCAGCCATTAAAAGGCTGGAACTTTCTTGAGTGAAAAGTACAACGAGAAAAAAAATAGATTCATGAATGCATTGTAATTTATTTCAAAAGTTTTATATTTATATTATTCTCAGGGGCGTGTGAAGTGGGGTATTAAAACCGGTATACCGGTATTTTTTTAAATTGGTAAAATATTTGAAGTAAAAGCTTAAAAATCGATTTTAGAGATAAAAATCCATTAATTAGGGGTACTAATACCGGTATACCGGTATTTTTTTTTCAAGTTGACAAACATTTTTAAGTAAAAATACACAAAAAGTGTTTTTACCTAAAATTGTGTCAATACCTGTAAAATACCGGTATTAATACTGGTATACCGGTATTTTTTAAAATTGGCAAAAATGTTTGGAGTTAAAGCCTAAAAAATGTTTTTTATATAAAACTTTGTTTATTAGGGGTGAAAATACCGGTATTAATACCGGTATACCGGCATTTTTTTTAAATTGGCAAAATATTTGAAGTAAAAGCTTAAAAATCGATTTTAGAGATAAAAATCGATTAACTAGTGGTAGCAATACCGGTATACCGGTATTTTTTTTAAATTGACAAAAATTTTCAAGTAAAAATTCACAAAAAGTGTTATTACCTAAAATTGTGGTAATACCGATAAAATACCGGTATTAAAGCCGGTATAACACAAAATTCACTTCTCAAATTTATATTAATAGAAAATTACCATTATTTTCACATAATTTTCCTAGTTTTCTGTTTCTATGCGCATATGTTGATTAAATATTTATTATAGCAACAAATTTGGTGGTTACGGATGCGTAGCGAAATCCAGGCGACGTTATTGCGTCGAAATTTATTGCATTTCTTTGCAGACCTTTGGAGAAAATGCAAAATATGCAAATGCACAATCTTGACTCGACATATTCCTGAGATATTTATGCATGACGTTTAAAATTAAATACTTTCATTCATAAAACAAAAATATTCCACTATTATTCCACAAAATATCTATTTTCGGTATATTACTACAGTAAAATACTATAAATTATCCACTTATCCACTGGGTGATTATTAATTTTTCTTCTTAAACTTTTTTTGCGTTTTTCCACGTAAAACTTGCTTTTTCTTGTATAACAACCGAAAAAAAGCTCAATTCCGAAGTAGACTTGTAAGTGTTGAGAAAGTTTTCGCTCACAAACGTGCGAAAACTACTTATTTCTATTTTTACGAGTATGTGCGCCATTTGCCGATAGTTATGCGCGCAGACGACAGCGCCTCATATACACTTCACTTTGGGCCACTTTAAGAACCGCCTTACGCGGCAATTTTCGCAATTGTCGTCTGCACGAAATCAGAGTTCCAAATTTCACCTCGTGTGTTGCGAATATGTGGCGTGCATTGTGCTTGCGGCCTTAACAAACGGCGAGCCAACACGTATCAGTAGTTACAGTGGCCTAATCTCGTATTGATATGTGTGATGTGTGGGTTGTGGCAATTGCAGGCGGCGCCGGCGGTCGATCGAATTTCACGCGCGCGCAAAAACTATCAATTTGCTATTAACATGCCAACATGCCAGCACATGTATTAATGCGCGCGATAATTCGGTGTATTGACACGTAGCAAGCGGGTTTTCAGTGTTAAATCAAACAATAATTACGTCTGCGAGTGATGTGCGACTGGTTACAGGTCATCTAACGCGATTAGTTGCTGTGGGGCAGAAAACATACGTTGCGCCACACTTTCACGCAAAAACTACTTAACCGATCATCATGAAAATTTGTACACATATTCTTAGTGGTCCCCGAAGGGTTATAGGCTACTTTTTATTTAATAAACAAAATTATTTTTTAAATAAAATAAAAAAATTGTTTAGTCAATAATACCTCAGCATCTGGCTATTTGACTACTTTAACGCCATCTAGCATTCCAGCAATGAAGCTCAAACCTAAGTACTATAGTACCATCACACTGTATTATCACACTGTATTACCGACAGCTACGTCAACATCAAATCCAATTGACTACACTATGGAGACTGTACACTATACTTCCATAGACTATACTTTCAGCCATTTTAAACTTCCCGCCATTCTACTTCATTGTTACTTCTTCTGTGACTACAGACGCGTACGGAAGCAACTTCATTATTTTAGATATTCGCGAGCGAAGCCGCGGGTTAAAGCTAGTATAGGTATAAACGCATATGAAATAAAATTTGTATGTTTGTGAAGCTATTACGTGAAAACTACTCGACGGATTTTGATAAAATTTGGTTTGGAGATAGTTGAGACCTTGGAGAATAACATAGACTACTTTTTATTTTCTAAAAATATCTATTTAAGGGTGAAAAAGGGAAAAATATAAAAAATGACAACATTTTATGTTTTTCCCAGTATTTTATTAGGTTTTTCCGCAGAAAAACAAAAAATACTAAGAAAAACTCAAGTATAATTTAATTATTTGTTTGTTTTGCGAATGTTTGCATCGATTTTGTCGCGTCCTTTCACCCCGTAATTCAGGTGAACGCAATTTACACGTGCTTGCCTCTTCAAACTTTGGCGAGGCACAACAATTGTGAATGCATTGCACACGAACGTCTCGCCCATCGTAAAATAAACTATGCAAACCGCACCGCGCTGAACTCTCGCATTCCTCGCCGGCGTCTAAAATAAAACTCCGCTGAGTATAAAACGATACAACGCAAAACAAAACAAAAACACATATCAAATATTTTCGGTGAAAATGAACCGGAGTTAATTAAACGCAATATTTGTTTAAGGATGCCGCCAATTTATTCTACACATACGCATGAATTTATTTGATTTAGTGGTTAACACAGCGCACAATCAATTATTTTGATTCGCTGCGTACACAAATATTTCGTACGTGTTTGATATTGATTGCGCTTTATTTATTTATACAGTAATAATACTAAATAACTCACTATAGGCAACCAAGTATACGTATAACCTCAATTGCGGTCAGATCATATAAATTTTATGCGTTGCGTTTGAGTAATAATATTATTGTTGATATTAAAACCGGTATACCGGTATTTTTTTAAATTGGCAAAATATTTAAAGTTAAAACTTAAAAATCGTTTTTATATAAAAATCGATTAATTAGGGGTGTGAAATACCGGTATACCGGTATTTTTTTCAAGTTGACAAAATTTTTAAAGTAAAATTCACAAAAAGTGTTTTTTACCTAAAAATGTGTCAATACCGGTGAAATACCGGTATTAAAACCGGTATACCGGTATTTTTAAAACGAAATACCGGTTTTTTAATATTTCGTACGTGTTTGATTTTGATTGCGCTTTATTTATTTATTCAGTAATAATACTAAATAACTCACTATAGGCAACCAAGTATACGTATAACCTCAATTGCGGTCAGATCATATAAATTTTATGCGTAGCGCTTGAGTAATAATATTATTGTTGATATTATGATGCATTTGTGGTTTTGAATTGATGAAACTATGAAAAATATGAAAAATATCGGCGAATTGCCTTGATAAGTAGCTGAAATTTATGCGCGACTCGTAAAGCGTAAAACGAGGTCGCGTTTAACGATCGGCGAATGCATTCACTCACGTACCCTTTCATATTAGCCCTTAATATGCCTCTTATACTACAAAGTAAAAAAATAAAACAATATAACCTTAAAGTATTAAATTAAAGGTTAAAATTTTATTTTTAGTTTTTTTGAAATTTTTTCGATGAAAAAATGAAATATTATATTAAAATTTGCAAGTATGGAAAACTTTAAACCATTTTCGAAACTTTCACCACTTGATATTTTGCGTTTAATGTTTCACCGCGGGTGGAATGCGTAAAACCTTTGATGGTGAAGGCGCCGGTCTTGTAATGAAGTGCCTAGTATGTTATATGGTAAAGTGAAGTTAACACGTAAAAAACGTAGAGAAAACGCAGCTAACTTTAAGTAAAGTCTCTACGAACGATGAACGATGGAACAAAGCGGCGTGATACGTGATATTCCGGCGCAAAAGTTTGCAGTCTTCAACCAGCCGGAATAATTCAATAAAACAATGTGAAACAACAGAAAGCGAGTGGAAAATGCGAGTAAAAAATTTAAAACAATCAGGTAGATTTTTTCAAGAGTATAGATAAATATTTTCTGTATTTTTAAAGAAATTGTTTGGTTTGGTGATTGGATTTATTGATTTTGGCAATTATTTTGTTTTAGTTTGGTTTTTTAAAGATAACTTTTAAAGTAGAGGTGATAGGGTGGTGATTTTTTTAGAGAAATGTAGGGAATTATATTTTTGAGGTGTTTGCTTTTAAAAATTGTTAAAATTATTGATAGATCAATAGTTATTAACAATTAAAGTTGGTAAAAAAGTAAAAAGATCAAAAAATGGCGAAAAACTGTGTTTTTTCTTTTCTTTTTTGAAAAATTATACTTTACAGTTGATATTCCTCAAAATTTATTTAAAATATTAGTAGATAAATAGTTATAAACAATTATAGTTTATAAAAAATCAAAAAAACCCGAAAACTTGACGTAGAACTTAAAAAACTTTTTTTTCTTTTTGAATAAACTACCCATAATCACAACTAGTTTATTTTAGGAATTACAAGGTAATTTATCGCCCAACCAGCAGGATGTTTGTGAATGGTTGCCAACTTAACGATCCGGACAATTCCCTTTCCCTGTTTTATACCCAAACAAAAAATCTTAGGAAGGTTTTGCCGAAAACTATGAAAATAAATCATTTGTCAACAACTACAAAAAATAAACTCGCGGTAAATCAACGTTTTACCAAAAATGTCAAAATAATTGCCACCTCAACTACAATAAAGTAAAAATACGGAAACACAGCATTGTTAAATTAAAATCCAAACGACAAAAGGCTTGTTAATTAATACGCGCGTTGTACAATTGCATTTTTATTTAGTTCAACACGACTCGTCAGCATTTCAGCGTTTAATTTGTGTTTTTGCACATTTTTACAATTTTTACACTTTTTACATGTTTTTGTTAATTGTAGATAACAGCTGCCATGCTGGGTATGTCAGAGTAGTATATTTTATAGGTTATGTTGTCCTCAACCCGCATTACAAAACATTATAAATTTATTTTAATTAATTCCGGGGTTTTAGATAAATTTACATTTTATTTCACACAAAAATGCAAATTGTGAAACATTTTCTTTTCTGTTGTATTCCACCCAAACAAAAACACACACAATAAATTCTTTTGAGCAAAATAAATCTCCTTTAAATTTCCTTTCAAATGATACTTTACTCGTTAATCTCCGACTTAAAATGACTGAGATATTGTGTTGTGAAATCAGACAACTATTATCCTCTTGATGTATGACATTACAACTCCTCGTATAACCCTAGATTCTGGTTAGTTTTGGTCAGAAAGCCAAATATCTTATATCTACGCAATGCACAAAGTTAAAAGCTTACAATACGATACAATGCGCATAATATAAATGCGATAACAATGGCCCCGTTGTTACATTTTCCAATAAAAAAAAAGAAAAAGAAAAATTTTGAATGGGTTTCTATAGCGTCTGCATTCTTTCTGCTCGGATATATTTTTTACTCCTCAGTGGCTCGCGAAAAAAAGATGATTCACTCCTCGTATACTATGTCATTGTATTTTCTGTGTTGAAACCAAGTGGAATTTATCACGTGCCGTTAGTCTCGCTTAGTTTCATTCATCAATTTCGCCATCGACGCATTGTGAGACATTCAGATAGAACAAAACAAATGCGTCATGCGTCATTAACGTTTTATTTTTTTATTTTTATTTTATACTTGATTTGATTTGATGGTAAAGTAGGGTTATGTTGGTGTAGTTTATAGTAGAATTGATATTTTATGCGATTAGTGGATGAAAGTGAAAGGCGTGTAAGTTTTAAAAGCTTAAAATGCAATAAAAGCATGTCGCCAACATGATGGGCGGTAATATTTCAATTCGAAACGATTGCAGCCGGGCGTGTGCGCGCCGCCGGCGACATTTTAGTGAGGCAATAATCGCGTTTTACGTCGGTAATGGACGCGCGCTGCCGTTTCGGCGTTTATCGGTTTTGCATGCGAGATTCAGACGCGCGTTTAATGTCCTTCCACGCCTTGACAACGCATCGACGGGGCTTGCATGTTAAGTTGAGGATATTGAACGCATATTCACGCATAGGTATTAAACAGGACCGGACGTCAGTGCTGCCAACTGAGGGAATAAAATCCCTAGATAGTTATTTGTTAGTAAGTATAGGGTATTTTTAGGGGAATATTTTAGGTTGGTATTACTGGTATTATTACAGGATATGGAGATTAGGAATTTGAATTTTTAGTTTAATACCGGTATTTTTTTTAAATAAAAACCGGTATTTTTTAAACAAAACCGGTATTCTTTAACAAAACCGGTATTTTCAAAAAAAATATCGTATTGAAAAATATCGGTTTTTGACACTAAAAATACCGGTTTTCTGAAAAAATACCGGTTTTTATTTTCTTTAATACCGGTTTTTTGCTATTTTCTAGGGGATTTTTTTATGTTGGCAACACTGATACTCTTACCGGATATTTAAATTGTCAAATTTATATTTTACTATTTTGTTTGCAGTCAAATATCAAATTTCATTGATGCAAGTTGTGGATAACTACATTTTCTCCCAAATAAACGCAATTAAAAGCCATTTAGTCGAAACACTTTAGTTGGTTAAGTTGAAAGAATATGTTATATGTGAAACTTAATATGTTTATAGGCAACTTGCTCGTCATACTTGTCGTCACGCTGAGTCGCCGTCTGCGCTCCATTACGAACTTCTTCCTGGCAAATCTGGCGGTCGCCGACTTCTGCGTTGGCATCTTCTGCGTCTACCAGAATCTACTCATCTATTTGACTAGCAAGTGAGTAATTACATTTGGGGATTACTAGTTGAAGAAGTTTCGCAGTTTACAGCGGTCATATTTCATTCAATGCGGAATTTACAGATGAATAGCAACAATTAATAATTTTAGGGGTGGTTTATATTATTATATGTGTTTAACTTGATTAACTTGAATGAGAATGTGGTTTTGAATATATTTAGTTTAAAAGATATGAAGATTTTTAAAGAGAAAAAGAAAAAATCATAATTTAAGGAACTTTTTTTCATTTTTTTAAGTTTAATACTTAATAACGAAAATTTTTAATTTTTTGCTTCAGATGGGTTTAATCTCTTTTAAATTTCCTTTCATATGATACTTTACTCGATTTTCTAAGACTAAAAATAGATAAGATAGAGCGTCGCAAAGTCAGACAATATTAAATCCCAAATTAATTACAATTTTCCCTACTTTTTTCTTAAATTACAACTAACTTATACATTTTTATGAACTTCTTCTTTATTAACCTTATAGTCCTTTAAAATATCTACCCCTCAAAGCAAAAATCATCCCTCTACCTCTTTTATTTTCCGAGTTATTCACCATTTTGTTTTTATTCCCGCTGAATTTTCATATATTCACATTTTTCGCATGAGCAACTTTAATCTCCTTGAAATTTCCTTTTCGATCATATTCCACCTTAAAATAATCTTATTCTGCACAGATTTAAAATAACCGAAAATATTTCTGATATATTCTAGTGATTACACTGCGAATTTCCATCAGTTGTTAAAAATTACTCCCATAAACAGCACCCACAAAAATTACGGAGTAAATATTTGTTAAATATTGCGCTCGTGCATAAAAACTCCCCCAAAACCCACAAAAGCACACACCACCCCTGCGGGAAAAAAATGTCCAATGTCTCGGCTCAATATTTTCCCATTATTATTAGTCGTCGAAGCGTGCGTTTAAAGAACAAACAAAAAATCTCGACAAAAAATTAAAAGACGATTATGTATACTCTATACGCACATTGAAACCTAACCACAATTGTTTGAGCAATCATTTTGTATACATTCTTATGCTATTACTTTTTATTTCCAATCAATTTTTTTGTGTTCTGTTGGTTAGTTGCTTTTTTTAGTTTGGGTATTTTACATGGCGCTCGCAATTAGGGTTATGTTACGTTCTGCAACCCACAGCGCACCAGCGGTGACCATTAGCATTGCCAGACTGGCTGCGAGTTAAATATCACCGATAGCAACTAATAACGAATCACTAAAAACGCGTAAAGAACAATTAATGCTAAAAGCCTTTTAACGACATCGTCTGTGAAGCATATTAAATAGCAAAATATACAAAATAGTGGTGTGAAATATCGGTATCGATATCGGTTAACCGGTATTTTTACAAGTTAACAAAAACTTTTGAAGAAATAACTCTAAAAAGTGTTTTTATATAGAAAACTGTCAATTTGGGTAAAAATACCGGTATTAAAACCGGTATCAATATCGGTTAACCGGTATTTTTACAAGTTGACAAAAATTTTGGAAGAAAAAATTGTTTTTACATAGAAATTGACAATTTAGGGTAAAAAAATACCGGTATTAAAACCGGTATACCGGTATTTATACCGGCATTAATACCGGTATACCGGTATTTTTATTTTTAAATGTGTTTTTTTTCAATCAACACCAAATAATTTATTTTATAAATTCCGTTATACCGGTTTTTTTTACTTCAATAATGAACAGCACTGATTTATTTATTTTTTCAATTTCCAGCTGGATATTGGGGGATTACCTCTGCAAAATGTATCATTTCGTCACTTCGTTGAGTTACACGGCAAGCATCTTCATCTTGGTCGTCATCTGTACGGAGCGATACTTTGCCATCATTTATCCGATTACGTGCAAACAGATTCTGACTCCGAGGCGATTACGGGTGAGTTACAAAAGTTCGTTCAGCTAACAATAAATCAATATCGACAGCAGTTCAAATTGTACAAGGTACGTTGTACGTTGGACTCACTGAGCGGGAATTTGAAATTTAAATTTTATACTTGTTAAGCAACAACGCAGACAACACGTTTTGATTTTGATGGTTCAGATCACAATATGATATAATCAGTCAACTATAACTGCGCATATTTGATACTCATCCAATTATTTTTGATCTATTGAATCGGATATTCGAAATTATTATAATCACGCGTGCGTGGTATTTACAAACAATTATTTGTTGCTTAAATGCATTTATTGGAATAAATATCAATAAATTTGCTTATTTATGGTTAAACTGGTATAAATAATTATTGACGTGGAATTATTTATTGGAGTTTAAAATATTGGATATTTTATTAAACAGGGTTTAATTTTATGTATAACATGATGGGAAATTATTACCGGAAGTGACTTAAATTTTGATTTAAAGTTGATATTTGCATTTTTTACTTGGGGAATGATTAAGTATTTTTCAAGCAACTTTAAAGTTAAATAACTAATGAATAAATTAAAATAATTTATTGATTCTTTGACAGTTATATAGATAATTAAATTATCTTTATTTTTATGTATAACATGATAAGCTACTTAAGTCAGAAGTGACTTAAATTTTGATTTAAAGTTGTTACTTGCATTTTTTACTTGGGGATTGATTAAGTATTTTTTAATCAATTTTAAAGTTAAATAACTTATGAACAAATTAAAATTATTTATTGATTCTTTTATATAGATAATTAAATTATCTTTATTTTTATGTATAACATGATAAGCTACTTAAGTCAGAAGTGACTTAAATCTTGACTTAAAGTTAACACTTAATTTTTTTTTACTAATTTTTTAAAATAAACTTCAAAGTCTTAAAACTTTTAAGCAAAAAATAATAATTTTTTGATTTCGAAACAGTTATAAAGAGAATTAAATACCCTTTAATTTGATGTATAATAATATTGATTATTTATAACAAAAGTGTCTTTAAACTCAACTCAAAATCAACAAAACAAAAAAAATTGATTTTTCTTCCACTCTAATTCATTTTATGACTTTTTCCGTCTGCTAAATGACGAAATAATCCCCCGTCACACAAAAATGCAAATACTAATCCCTGCGCCATATTAAATCCGAAATCTTCGACACCATTAAATGACATTTACATTCGAATTTTTCGCACCATCTTTATGAGTTTTCTTTCGTTTCACGTTCCTTCACTTAAGACATCGAAAGGGTCGTGAATACGCGCTGATCTCCTTGCATAAACAGCAGATATAAATTCGTATTAATGCCTCGCCTTCATCGCCGAATGTTAGCACGAGAATTAATTGACACGTTACGGCGCGAGAAAATAAATTCGGCGCTGCTGCATTGTTCGCAATATTCGCATTGTCGGCGCGAGCATTCCATTTGGGTGTTCGAATGAAAATGAACAGCGCATAAATTAAACGCACATAAATTCACTGGAGATTTTAAAACAATCAACACTTTATGCGAAAACATACGCGATAAAAACTTCGCTATCATCTGTGACGACTCCAAAAAATAATCACTTTATCTTTATTAGTTTTGTAGTAAGACTGATTTTTAACCTCAAATATAACATAAATATCAGTTTTTTATCAAATTACAGTTTATTAATAGCAAATTGTTATTTTTTCTTTATTAATATTAAAGTTTTAGTAATAATCTATCTATTTCCAAAAATTAATCACTTTATCTTTATTAGTTTTGTAGTAAGACTGATTTTTAACCTCAAATATAACATAAATATCAGTTTTTTATCAAATTACAGTTTATTAATAACAAATTGTTATTTTTTATTTATTAATATTAAAGTTTTAGTAATAATCTATCTATTTCCAAAAAATAATCACTTTATCTTTATTAGTTTTGGAGTAAGACTGATTTTTAACCTCAAATATAACATAAATATCAGTTTTTTATCAAATTACAGTTTATTAATAGCAAATTGTTATTTTTTCTTTAGTAATATTAAAGTTTTAGTAATAATCTATCTATTTCCAAAAATTAATCACTTTATCTTTATTAGTTTTGTAGTAAGACTGATTTTTAACCTCAAATATAACATAAATATCAGTTTTTTATCAAATTACAGTTTATTAATAGCAAATTGTTATTTTTTCTTTATTAATATTAAAGTTTTAGTAATAATCTATCTATTTCCAAAAATTAATCACTTTATCTTTATTAGTTTTGGAGTAAGACTGATTTTTAACCTCAAATATAACATAAATATCAGTTTTTTATCAAATTACAGTTTATTAATAGCAAATTGTTATTTTCTCTTTATTAATATTAAAGTTTTAGTAATAATCTATCTATTTCCAAAAATTAATCACTTTATCTTTATTAGTTTTGGAGTAAAACTGATTTTTTAACATAAAAATTACTCAAGTGGTGGCGCAATATACATACCAAGTCCTGAATAAACGGTGTGTGTGTGTGTGGAGAAAGTTTCTTTGAATCAACCCTTCTAGGGCTTTTTGCTCTTTGATGGTCGCATTTGGGTGGGCAGTCGATGAAAAAGGGAATGGACGTTTGAGTGGACAAAAGAGCGAGTCTTATTATTGCCCAAATGAGCGCGTGCATCCTTTTCAGGGTTGTCCTTCGGTAGATATAGGGGTGGTCATCGATTTTATGTTGTGGTGTTTGGTTTGTGGTGTTGTCGAGTCAAGAATTTTGTGACAAAGCAACATTTTGACCGGTGAAATTATAATTTGGACATTGTTTTTGATTTTTTGAGTTTTTAACCTCAAAATTTACTTTAAAAATTGATTTTGGTCAATTATTAGTAACAAATTGTTATTTTTTCTTTAGTAATATTAAAGTTTTTGTAATTATCTATTTATTTTCAAAAAATAATTACTTTATCTTAATTAGTTTTGGAGTAAAACCGATTTTTAAACTAAAATTTAACATAAAAATCAGTTTTTTGCCAAATTACAGTTTATTAATAACACATTTTTATTTTTTTCTCCTTTTATATTAAAGTTTTAGTAATAATCTATGTATTTCCAAAAAATAATCACTTTATCTTTATTAGTTTTGGAGTAAAACTGATTTTTAACCTCAAATTTTACATAAAAATCAGTTTTTTGTCAAATTACTGTTTATTAATAACAAATTGTAATTTTTTCTTTAGTAATATTAAAGTTTTAGTAATTATCTATCTATTTCCAAAAATTAATCAATTTATCTTTATTAGTTTTGGAGTAAAACCGATTTTTAACCTCAAATTTTACATAAAAATCAGTTTTTGCCAAATTACAGTTTATTAATAACAAATTGTAATTTTTTCTTTATTAATATTAAAGTTTTAGTAATTATCTATCAATTCCTAAAAAATAATCACATTATCTCTGCTAGTTTTGCTGTAATAATGATTTTAACCTCAAATTTTAACCCAAAAAGTTTAATTCCCCAAAATAACACATAAACAGTGGCGGATTACGGCCTAGGCGCACTAGGCGCGCGCCTAGGGCCCCGGCTGCCTGGGGGGCCCCGGTTGCCTGAGGGGCCCCTGGCACTTATATGTCCCATATAGACATAGTAATTCCACAAATACTTCATCAGTTGGTTTTGACCTCAGCCTTTATGAATAGCGTATTGGTTTTCACTTGGCGCCCAAAACGGCATTTCACACGTGTCCGCAAAGCAACCGTCACGGATATATAGCTGACTTAAAACTTTTTATCTCCGATTTTATTTCTTTATGACAAACTGTTTAAAATAAAATTTTGATGTTTTCTACCACGAATTTTTGTGACCTTTTCTTGAATATTGCATTAGAAAGTTGTAGCTATAATGCGAGTAGTATATTGTCAATTTTTTTAAATTTCGAACATCTGTGGAGGAGATGAGTTGAGGAACATTCCATTGAGGTTGTAAAATAGCGGGTAACTCTCTTTTTAGGAATATTAATTATTTCGTCTTTCTATCATTTTTTGATGGCTTAGATATCACAAACTGTAGGGGCCAATCTTATGATAACGCTGCTAACATGTCTGGCAAGTACAGTGGATTACAGGCACGCATAAAACAACATTCCAAATCAGCTGAATTCATACCATGTGGAAATCATTCTTTAAATTTGGCTGGGAATACTGCAGCGGAATCTTGTTCTGGAGCATTACAGTATTTTATGTTTATGCAAAATATATATATTTTCTTTGCTGCATCAACAAGACGGTGGAATATTTTAGCAGAATGCATGAAAGATAAGAATTCTAAAAGTATCAAGAGAATAATTGATACACGATGGTCCGCAAGAGCTGACGCTGTTTTAACCCTAAGACTAAATTATCATGACATTTACCAATCCTTGATAAAGGTAACCACAGATTCCAATGAAAAACCAATTTCAAAATTAGAAGCAAAAAAATTATCAAAAGAGTTCAATCAATTTGAGACGGCACTGTTAACAATTTTCTGGAACAAACTCCTACAGAGAATCGAAATTACCAGCAAATACTTACAGGAACCAAAGACAAATATTCTTAATAGTGTTAGTTTACTAAAATCATTAAACGAATTTATAACAGAGGTCAGAAATAATTTTGAAACTGTTGAAGAGGATGCTAAATCCCTAACAGCTCATCATTCTTATAAAGAGATGAGACAAAGAAAACGCAAATATCCATATGATGAAACGAACAAAAATGATACAGCATTTTCGTCAAGAAATTTTTTTATTGTCAACATTTTTTATATTGTATGTGATGTATTAACATCAGAAATTACTCGAAGGGGCGATGTCTATATCAATGTTCTTAACGATTTTAAAATTTTCTTTGATTTAAAATTAAGCCGTGTTGAGACTAATAATTGTGTAGAGCGATTATTGTCTAAGTATGAAAAAGATATTGAGCCAGAATATTTTTAACTCATATTCTAAAATACATACAAGAAGAAAATATTAGAGATCCATATGAAATGTATGCAACATTAAGTAATGGTCTAAAATCAACTCAAAATCAACGGTCATTATAACCGGACATAATCTATTAAAAATGGGTCATAATAAGCGACATGTCACTGTAAGCGAAGTCATTATATCCGACTTTTTTATACAGAATTTTATATAAAAACCAAACTTGGTAGTGTAGTTACGTCATAATAACCGGTTGGTCAATATAAGCGGAGTCACAATAAACGGATTCTACTGTATACACACAATACTGCAAATTTTTTTGACCTTGCCCGTTTCTAATGCAAGTGGAGAAAGGACATTTTCAGTTTTAAAACGAGTCAAAAACTATCTGCGCAATAGTCTTTCACAAGAGCACTTAAATGACTTCGCATTAATGTTCATAGAAAATGATATTTTTAAAATACTAGAGTACGACAAAATTATTGAAATCTTTGCCCAAGAGAAGGCAAGAAAAGTAAATTTGTAATTTGTATTTAAATACGATTACCGTTTTTGAGCACACGTACGATGAACTCGAGAACCAAGATAGCATTGAAAACGATAATCCCATCGCGGATAGTATGGTAGAAAATTTTACATGTGATATTTCGATCGGTCCTGAAAACAATTAACGCACAACACCTGGTCCATCGCGAAGAGCGAATCGGAAGATAATCCATTAAATTTTGGAATAGTGCGTGTGGATTAGGCCAACTGGGGATACCACGATAAAAAAAAACGCGCCACGTACTCTACCTCAAGGTGGTGTGGAAATGAGTTTTTGGCACAAACGAATGTTGAAGTAGACTTTGCGTCGCCCGTACGCTAAAACTATTTATTTTACTGGGCTAATAACCGTTTTTGAAAATTTTCAGATTTTGGGGCCCCAAGCTTGATTTGCGCCTAGGGCCCCACTGAAGCATAATCCGCCACTGCACATAAATATTAATTTATTTTAAAAATTTCACTAGTATTATACTCTTACTAATTATCTACATTTTACAAAAAATTTCATTAAATTATCTCTAAAACTCTAAAAGTTACAGCATTTTTTGTATTTTTTTACAGTTGGTAATTCTCGCCGTATGGATAACAAGCGCATTATACAGCGCCCCCAAGTTCTTCTGGGTAAACACCGTAAGCAACGAAATCGACGGTAAAATCGAAATCTTCTGCGCCCCCAACCGCAAAATGTACAATTCCGAGCTCTTCGACATGATCAACTTCGTCCTCCTCTACGTCATCCCACTCGCCATCATGACCGTAAGACATGAATTTGATTTTCTTTAATTGCATTATTCTTCAGACTAATTTAATTGCATTTTTTCCTCTCAGTTGTTGTACACGCGGATCGCAGTGGGACTGTGGACGAGCTCGAGACAACTCGAGAAACAATTGAACGCGTCGGCGAACAACGGCGAGTCAAATTGCAGCCGACAGTCGAGCAGGTACAAGAATCACGGCGAGGTGAAGGTAGGTGTAGCGCAACTTTGTGTCACGCGGGGCGGCCATTATGTGTCCTTGATGTTTGGCGACGCGCCGTACTCGATGAATTGCTTTTTTGCGCCGAGATATTATTTTTCGACGCTTCAGCAAACACGCCGGCCAATATGGTGAGAGCTGAGTGAACCCCGGGGAGTCAATTCCCTCTTCGCCTTTTTTTTTTCTGTAATCGAAGACCAAGTTTGTTTGCTTTGTGGGCGATCGAGCATGCAAATTATGGTTTGTGTGCGCTCGAAGCGTGAAAATGTGAAGATCATGAAAGAGGAAATTAATTTTTGCCACCAATACAGCCGGAATCTATTTTCGAACGGTTTTTGTGTGTTTTCAAAATCAATTCGTGCTTTTAACTACATTAAATTTGATTTTTGACGTTTGATTTGCACTTGTCACAAGAAATACCGGTTTTAAAATCGGTTAACCGGTATTTTTAGAAGTTGATTAAAACTTTTGATGGAAAAATTCACAAAAGATGAAATTTTGTCTATTTGGAATGTGAAATACCGGTATACCGGTTTTTAATCGGTATTAATACCGGTATACCGGTATTTTTTCAAAAACAAAATTTTTTAATTTGAAATTCTTTCCAAAAAAAAAACAAAATTTTTATTTTTAAATACCGGTAATACCGAAATACCGGTTATAATATCGGTTAACCGGTATTTTTCAAGTTGATGAAAACTTTTAATCAAAAAACTCACAAAAATGTTAAATATTGAAATTTGTAAATTTTGGATATGAAATACCGGTATACCGGTTTTTAACCGGTATTAATACCGGTATACCGGTATTTTTCAAAACAAAATTTTTAATTCACAATTCTTTCCAATAAAAACCACAAAACAAAAAATTTTATTTTATAAATACCGGTAATACCGAAATACCGGTTTTAAACTAATAATTCACTTCTCCCCAATTTCCTAATCTCTCCAACTCAATAATAAACGACTTAATTTTTTGTTTAGATCACTTCGGCAGATGCGAAAGCCCTCCAGAACCCACTTCTAGCCAACCCCAACTCCAGCCAGAACGTGCTGCGGGCGCGCCGCGGCGTCATTCGCATGTTGATCATCGTCGTCCTGACGTTCGCCCTCTGCAACCTGCCCTTTCATGCGCGCAAAATGTGGCAATACTGGTCTGCGGGCTATCGGGGCGACACGACTTTCTCGATGCTCCTCACCCCGCTCACCTTCCTGCTGACCTACTTCAATTCGGGTGTCAATCCATTACTCTACGCGTTCCTATCGCGTAACTTCCGAAGGTACGTAATCCATCGCACATCAATCATGTTTCAATATTTTAAAACACACGATTTTTGCAGGGGAATGCGTGAGATATTAATGTGCTCGTATCGTGGCAACCGTAGGCAACCAAGTCATCGCACGCAACATTTAATAGGACTACATGGAGGGATTCAACGACATGCATCGACTCGTTCAACGATCAAAAATAATGTTACAACGGTGACGATTATTAACAATGAGCACAGCTCGGATTGCTCGCATGAACTTTGAGGGTGCGCTCCGTGTCTGTACTGTTCGCGGTACGGATGAGACCATGGAAGTGAGTATGTTCATTTGGAGAATATCACTGAGGAGGAAATCCAGACGAACTTATAGTACTGCTAGCGCCATCTATCGGCAACAGGGTGATATCAATATGAAAATGGAATTGACTGTGGCACAGCTAACACTGGCAACGAAGTGGAATAAACATATTTTCTTTTACAATCATAAGCTCCGAAATGCAACTGGGGCTGTATTATGTCGTCTTTGTACATATTTCTAATAATCATCAAGTCTGTGTTAAGTATTTTTATACCAAAGTACTAAATATTTTATGTCAATGTTATAACTTACTATGTTGGTGTATAAAAAGTCTGAACGGATGACGGAGAGCCCGGAGACGTATACAATACAAAAATCTATTTATTGTAATATATTATTATTATAACTAACACGTTTTCACTATGATGAAATAAATGTGATGTCTAATGTCAAAAAAATGCCAAACAACTTACAATACTGTTAGTGTTTTAACCTCGTTATGATATTACCCGTTAGAAATATAATTTAAAGCTTTACGAAGCGAGTTATTACGTAAAATGAGTTTAACTTGCTGAAAATTGCAGCGTCAACACGTCGACAAGAAAGTTTTAAAACTGCGCGATAAACAGATCGATGAAGCGCATGCGCGTATGCCGCGACGCGCTGTCAGTGCTGCCAATCTAAAATTTTCGTTTCGTATCTCGTTTAACTCAAATAATATCGGCAAACTCGTAAATTATCCAGGTTTATCACCTGTCTAGGATGGATTTTATCGATAAATCATTAGTTTTTCAAGACAATTCATCGCTTCGATTGAATTAGAACATTTTCGATTCTAAATTACGCAGCGCAAGAACAAAGGACCGTCGCTTTTGCGCGTCAAGAGTCGGTCAAGTCCTTCGCGCATTTAATCGCAAGCCGCGCATTCGAGATCGAATTTAGTACTCAGCAATCTCTACGACTCGAAGAACCGCCGCCGAAATCGCATCAATGTCCAACGTCGTCGCAATTTTAACGAGTTTAACCATTTCAATAGTCGACGCTCACAGCCCGCGAACGTAGAACGCGTTTGACATTTGTCGCCAGGATTCCAACCTCACTTTCGTCAAAAAAGGAAAGGACGCGTGTTACCAAGCTCCATATTTTCATTGAATACTGGTCAATTTATTACTTATAACACAAATTACAATATGCCATTATATGCGTGGGTAAGTTCTGCTTGGATGTGCATTGATCCCCGCCGGGGATCGATTGAATTTTGCTCGTTTTTTATGCGTCTCAATATGTGATATAATTATATGATGTTTGCTGTGCTCTTAGGGTGCCAACAGCTATGGTCAGCTGGGCTTGGGCAACAAAGTCGATTCCGTGCTGGAGCCGACCGAGGTGAAGCTCGAGAACAGCGGGCTGAAAGCAGAGAACATCGTTGAGATTAGCGGCGGCGCCGGACACACGCTCATACTCGACACCAACGGCCACGTGTACTGCTGCGGCTGGAATTCAAAGGGGCAGCTCGGGATCTCGGAGGATACGATAAAGTTCAAGCAGATCGAGATCCTCGCCGGTTACAAAATCGTGCACATATCGTGCGGCTGGGACTTCAGCGCCGCGCTCACCGGCTGCGGCAAGTTATTCGTCTGGGGTAACAATGCGTATCTGCAGCTGGGGCTCTCAAAGAGCATCACGTGCACAGGCATCCCATCGCGGCTGCACGTCTCGCAGAAAATCGCGACCGGTTTCACGCGAGTCAGCTGCGGCATGCGACATACGGCCATGTTGACAAAAGATGGCGGCGTTGTCGTTGCAGGAACAGGAGCGAAGGGCGCGTTGGGCATTGGCGACAATTACAACGACGACGCGTACATGAGCATATCGAAGGTACCTGACCTAGAGGATGCGCGTTCCGTCGCAGGCGGGCAGAATCACACTGTCTGCTTGAAAAACGACGGCACGGTTCTCTCCTGGGGTGAAAACAAGCAGGGCCAGCTGGGGTTGGATCCGGCGACGAGTAATTTCTTCGTGCCGACAGAAGTCTTCACGCATGAAGGCCTGGAAAAAGTCGAGGCTGGATGGACGCATACGTCCGTTCTGACGAAGACTGGTGAGATTTACAACTGGGGTCGGAATAACTATGGGCAGTTAGGCTCGCAGCGACAGGTTCTGCATAAGCCGGAGAAATTGGCTGGCATTAGCGGTATCCAACAGCTCACGTCCGGATCCGAGCATAATTTGGCCGTTAATGGCGAGGGGCAGCTCTTTGTCTGGGGGTGGAACGAGCACGGCAGCTGCGGTACGGGCGATGCCAATAATGTCATGAAGCCGCGACAGATCCTCACGAATCGCACAGTCAAGCTCGCCTTCGCGTGTACCGGCCAGTCGTTCGCCGTCGTTGAGTAACTTTAATTTTTCATCGATTCTATGAAGGCAAAACTGATTTAATAAATAATTTTCATGTTCATATTAAGTATTTTTATAATGATTTAATTAGTGTATTACTGTATTTTTATAATAAACTATGATGCATGATTTTCTTTAGACTTGATCCGTTTGGTTTTATTTGGACGCCATTTTCTCACGATTTCTTCATGTAATTTACATTTTGTGAAGAAAAAAAAAACAAAATGGCTACAGTTTTAGGTATTAAACTTGATTGTAAGCGTTTTTTACGTGTTTTTCAAGTGTTTTTAATGCTTAAATGTCATTTTCTATGTCATTACAAGATTTCCTTTTGTTTGTATCGACTTACTCACTGAATGAATCCACCCTCGCGACGAAATCAATCATTACTTAGCTGGTATCGCTTCAACATGTTTACGAATCGTTTAAAGCAAAACAGGTAGAGTTATAAATAGTAATCAAGCCCAAACACGCATTAATTATTGAATGTTTCAGTGAAAACGAGACGAAATTCGTCCAGGATAGAATTAACTTGGCTGAACGTAATGTTGCTGAACTTACACTTGGTTTTGGGACGTATTCACGTAAAGCAGCACGTCTGAGAGATGTTGGTGATGAATTAACAACAATTTTACAACAATATGCTAACGCAGAGACTGTGAATCAGTCATTTAGCAATGGACTCAATCGTTTTGCTTCGTCTTTGAATACTATAAACAATTATGGAGATAAACGCGTGCAGTATATTGATAATAAAGTTGTTGCGCAGTTACAACCCTATGAAACAACTTGTAAGAATATGAGGGAAGGTGTGAAGAATATTTACATCACTAAGGATAAAGAAGTGTTGCGACAAAGACAATTGGATAGAATTAAAGAGAGAAATCCAAGAAACAGGCAACAAATTGTAAGTTTTATGGTTTTAATACTTGTAATTTGATATTGTTTGTGTTTTAATAGGTAGAGGCTGAATCAGAGCTTGTACAAGCCAAGTCTGAAGTTGCAAGGACAATTCACAACCTAGAGGATAAGTTGCTAACGTTTGAAAGGCAAAAATTGCATGATTTGAAGGAAATCTTATTGGATTTTGTCTGTACAGAGATTGGGTATCATTCAAAAGCGATTTCATTGCTTACTGAGGCTTACACAAACATTGATGCAATTAATATTGACACAGATGTTGAGGTAAGTACAAAAAATAACTAATATTATACACATTTACAATAATATCTCATATTGTGTAAAATGCAAGGACTTACAAAGAGTTTTTGATGAACTGGATCCGGTAATTCATTAATAAGCAACAAAAACCCACTTTTGTTGATTAAAAACATTAAATTTTCAGAAATTTAAAGCTTCTCTACGCGATCCTAAAGATAATAAAGCAAAACAACCTCTTTCTAAACATTCTCAATCACTTGGAGCAATCAATACAGCAGGTTTAAACACAAAGAAACCCCAAAAACAAAAATCTGTCAGTGAAGAAGTCCTAAATGAAAACGAGGATGAATCTGAAGCATCTGAAACAGAATTCACTGATTCAGACTCCGATCCACCTGCTGTTACAAAAAAGAAACCAACTAGGAAGTTTGTACAATAAAACAACTACTAAATAATAAGGAATCATTGGTCTTATTCTTATCATCTTATACAATCTTAATATAGCACACACACTTATTACATGATAAATATTATTAACTAATATCTAAGCTAATGATGATGGATATATCTAAATGAATGATTGTTTATTTTTCCACTCCTTCGACACCAGCCTGTGTCATTAAATCACCTATATTCTTCTCTAGGTCATCAATCCGATTACCCATCTCATCTATACGCGATAGAATCTGATCGGACATGTTCTGGAATTTATCCTGGATCGTTTGCAGTAAACTCTGCACCTGTATGCATAAAAAACATTAAAATATTTCGAATTTATTAAGCAGTTTGAGGTTAAAATCATATACTTACATATTGAGTGAGTTCCTGCACGTTTTTCGGATCGTTTGTGTTCGCAGGAGTGAATTCTTCGGTGTCGTTCATCTCAACCTTATCATCAACCATTTTGGCGTTAATTAACGGCTTTGAAATGTCCGTTTGACGTAGGAATTAATATCACAAAGGTAGTGTTATTCCAGTGGTAGTGCACAGCTAGCAGGAAGCAAAGTGAATGAGAGGAAGCCGGAAATAATAACGCGATGCGCAGAATGTTTGGTCGAAATTCGCGTGTGGATTCAGGTGAGACTTGTACCAGTCACAAACAAAACAAGTTCATATTAATTCTCATAAATGCTTCTCCATTTTATTGTTTGTTTTGTGGGCAATTTATTAAGTTATAATAAACTTATATTAACAGCGGATAACGCATCGACGATCCACTTGGGATAATCTTTCTCAGGGTATAAATTAATGAAGAAATTCTGCACGTATTGTGGGAATTGTTGTGCGGAGATGCTTTCGCGCATTTCTCGCATGAGTCGCGCTTGGAAAGCCAAATTGTGCACGGTGAGCAAATGACATGCAACCGTTTGCACCGTCACGATTCCGTGCAGATAAGCTCGCGTGTAGGTTTGGCACGTTGTGCACGTGCAATCATCGTCGATTTTCCTAAAGTCTTTTTTGTATGTCTTCTGACGTAGGTTTAGTTGTCCTTTCATTGTTAACGCGCATCCAAAACGCTAAAAAATACAATTTTTATGTTGAAACATAATAAATATGATTTTTTTTGTGTGTAACTTACAGCAGTTCTTGTTGGAAACACACAATCAAACATATCAACACCCAAAGCTGAACACACGACTAAATCCATAGCAAAACCAACTCCCATTAAATATCTAGGTTTGTTTTTCGGTAGAATATTAGTTGATAAATGCACCATTTTCCAGAAATCGTCTTTTGATTCCCCGCCGCTTAATCCTCCAATAGCAAAACCTCGTACATCGCGTTGAATTAAATCATTTGCGCTGATTGTCCGCAAGTCAGGATATAAAGTCCCTTGGACAATTGGAAAGATACTCTGTGTGTCAGGATTTTTATGAGCATTTAAACACCGGTCTAGCCAGCGTGTTGTGCGATGTACAGACACTTCTATTCTGTCTTTATCAGGACTTGTTGTTTTGATTACATCGTCGAGTTGCATTACAATATCAGCACCGATAGCGTTTTGTATGTGCGTTGAATGCTCCGGGGTTAACATAACTTCGTTTTTCTCGGCGTTTAATGACTGAAACTTGACACCATCTTCTGTAACTTCAGCCAGTTTCAGTAGAGAAACCATTTGGAAGCCTCCGGAGTCAGTTAGGAGGGAACCATGCCAATTCATGAAGTTGTGCAGACCACCGGCTTTCTCTAATAGTTCAGGACCCTGTTAAATATTAAATTATTACATATTTTAAAGTATTTTTTTGTTTTTTTTTTTTTGAGGTTTTTATGATTTTATTTTGTTTTAATTGCTTACTAACTGGTCTAGTGCCTAAGTGGTATGTGTTTGCAAGTAGAATTTTAATCCCCAGGTTGTCAATTTGCTCAGGAAGAAGTCCCTTGAGTGTACCCTAAATATATTAATAATTATTACGTAAATATAATATTTTTTAGTGTAAATCTATTACCTGTGTGCCAACTGGCATAAAAACAGGCGTATCTACTGTACTATGCGGTAAATGCAGCTCTCCAACACGTGCCTTGGATGTTTTACACTCTGCAGTGACATTATACACCAAAGGGCTGACCATTTTTCTTAATTTTAAGGAGATTTTCATTTACTAATTGGAAATTTAGTATAGCATAAACACTAAACACGTGTCGGACTGTATGCAACCATCCATACACTTTACCACAACTGTTACATTCAAAAAGAGAATACAACCTCAAACAATCCGAGTTTTTATAATAAAAATGGATTTAAAAGTTATTAAAAGAGATTTAATCAAAGGAATAAAATCCTGTTCCGAACGCGGGTTGTCCCAGAGCGTAAAATGGCTCTCCGAGTTAAATTTCGCAATAAAAGATGTGAAAATTGAATTCACCAATGATCTCATGCAATATGAAGACTGTGGAGATGAAAACGAAGCATATCTGCTTGCAAAATCATATTTCGACATCAAAGAATACGATAGATGTGCGTATTTCATCAAGAATTGCACGCATCAAAAGCCACGCTTCCTGCATTACTACACAAAATACCTAAGTATTGAAAAAAAGAAGTTGGACAACATGACAGATGCAACATGCCCACCAGACCCAACAAAAAATCAACCCCTGAAGGACCTCTGCAGTCTCCTCAAGTCAGACTACAATGAAAAGAAACTAGACGGATATGGTTTGTATTTATATGCTGTTGTCATGAAGAAATTGGACTTAATTGAGTCTGCAATTGATGTTTTTGTTGAATCTGTGCATGATACACCAATGCTCTGGGCTGCATGGCAGGAATTATCCCTGCTGATAAGCAACAAGAACAAATTACAGTCAATCACACTACCAGATCACTGGATAAAACAATTTTTCCTAGCTCATGCATATCTTGAGCAATTGAACAATGACGAAGCTTTACAGTTATGTTCGAGTTTACAAAACATGGGATTCAAGAACAGTTGTTATTTACTGGCGCAAACAGCGATTATTTATCATAATCGTCGAGATTTAGAAATGGCGATTCAAACATTTCAAGATTTATTAGAACATGATCCATTTCGCCTTGATAATTTAGATACCTACTCAAATTTGTTATATGTTCGAGAATTGAAGAGTGAATTGGCTGATTTGGCACAGACTGCAGTGTCAATTGATAAATACCGGCTGGAAACTTGTTGTGTAATCGGGAATTATTACAGTTTACGCTCGGATCATCAGAAAGCAGTGTTATACTTTCAACGCGCGTTGAAATTGAATCCTTATTATTTATCTGCGTGGACATTGATGGGGCATGAGTATATGGAGATGAAAAACACAAATGCGGCGATACAGAGTTACAGACAGGCGATTGATATTAATAAACGTGATTATCGTGCTTGGTATGGTCTTGGACAGACGTATGAAATACTCAAAATGCATTCGTATAGTTTGTATTATTATAAACAGTCGCAACAATTGCGCCCGAATGATAGTCGTATGATTATTGCGCTTGGTGAAACCTATGAGCGTCTAGATAAGATTGAAAACGCGATTAAATGTTACCATAAAGCGTGTAGAGTTGGTGATATTGAAAGAATTGCGCTGTTGAGGTTAGCGAAACTTTATGATAAACTTGGAATGTGTATGCAAGCAGCTAATGTCTACAGTGAGTTTATTTATAAAGAGAATACAGCGCCGGAGAATATGCCGTATGAGGAACAGGTGGATTATTATAATGCGTTGGAGTATTTAGCAAATACACATTTACAATATGGCCGCCTGGATGATGCTTATAATTGTGCTTACAAATGTTTAGATAATGATGAAGTAAGTATTTTTAACGAAATATGTTGGTTTTTTATTAATTATTGTTTTTTTAGACTAAGGAACAAGCAAAAGCATTGTTGAAAAGTATTGCTGCGAAAAGAGGTGAATTGGAACCAGCAGGAATGACTGTGATGGAAGAAACAGTTACCTGTAACAATATGACAGATACAAGTAGCATGAGCATGGATGAAACTGGAGAAATTGGTGGGATTTATTCCCCTACGGAAAATACAGAGAATGAATGAATAGTTTTAATGCATTGTTTTATATATTCAATAAAATTAAGTATTAATTATATTTAGGTAATTTTAAGTGTATGCAACCAGTTATACATGTCAGTATATAATTTGTGTATAAGCTTCGAAAAATCGGCGTATTTTAGCGTAGATGGCAGTTGAAAACAAACTGCTCGTGCGCAGTAGCCCTGGCAACAGTCGAAGGCCATTAAATGACAAAATTTAAAGGGTGAGGCGTGATTTCCCATTGCGAAAGCTTGGAATTCTCCTAACCGATCCAACGGTCAGTGGTGCAACGCGCAGCAGAATCCCGATGCAGCCGCAACGTCAACCCGAGCTTACATATTATGACTTTGACGTGAATTTCGACTACCAGCAGCAGTTACACGTTAGTAAAAAACACATTACTTTTCCATACAAGTTTAAATTCATTGTGATTTTCTGTTGAAATTAAATAGGAAGCGATGAAATGCCGTGCGGCCGTCGCGTATAACCGCGCCGCCACCGAGGAGTACTTCAAAAGCAAGCTTGACAACCCAGAGGTAATCATCGAGTTCAGTGAGCGCCTTCAAAAATCTCGAGAGGATCTCACCTTTTCGGTTAAACAGTTTATGAATCTCTTTAAAAGGCATCCACTCACCGGCGAGGGGGATCCGGGGGCGGACGGGGAGACGGCGGATTCGCAAACCACAATCACCTTGGCATTACCCGACGTGGAAGCTCGCCCGGCTCCGCAGGTTCTTCAAGTTTTCCTTCCAACAGCCCCACAGATTTCGCTCTCTTTGACGAACATCTCCTGCCCACCGATACTACCTCCTCTACAATGTCACATTTCTCACATTCCCCCATTTCCTCTACCCCAAACTCCGCCGTTACAGCTGGAGCTCCAACTGCAGGTGCAACTGCCGCACGTCAACCGGAAGTGCCTGCATTTTCCTACCAAGGAATATCTCCAGTTGCATGCGACGTTCGCGCGCAACCTAAAACAGCGGATCCTGAACGAGATTCAGGAGCGCACGGCGCGTTGTCAGCTAAAGCGGCAGGTCGCCATCCAAGACTCGCTGAGCGACGTTCTCGATCGGGATCCACTTCGAGTTCTCGCACACGTCGGCTACCAGGCCGTCTTGCGCCACGACGAATTTAACGTGCCGAAGACGGCGCGCCATGTTGATGCTGAGACGCTGCGACGCAACGAGCGTAAGCTGCATGATATGGCCGAGGAGTTTTGTCTGTCCGATTACGCCGCGGAGGTGATGCACGCATGTGATAGTAACACGAAGGTGAGGAAACGTTTAGGTGAGAGGTTTGAGCCTTAAAATCAAAATCATTACATATCTGTTTCTGTTGACTTAACGGACGCATATTTTATTACTTTTATTCGTTTATCAAATATTCTAATGATTCTTATGCATCAAGTGCAATTTTTGTTCGTTATTTTATTTATTTTGTAATTTTTATACATCAAATGGAAGTATTTATTAAGAAATTTATAAACTTTTGAAATATGTGCGGTTGTAATATATGCAACCCAAAATACACATACACTTGTATGGCTTATGCGCAAACGCGCAAAACGCGCAACAAAACACAACAAACAAGCCGTGCAGTTGGCCGCTAGCAGTCATACGCGCCGGGTGTCGGTTTGTGCGCCGGTTTTTCTTTGCCGATGCTTGGATTGTCCATCGCGTAATCTTAAAAATAGATTTTACGCGATCTCCGTAGTAGCCTGCTGTCGATTAATTCGTCTCAGTTTCCGCGTGGCAGTTATGTGCGCCGAGCGAGGATTTCCAACCGGCTTCCATGCAGATTTAGCGTCTACGTTTAACAATTGCAAATAGTAAGTATATTCTTATCAGGTGTACACATTGCGTTGTATTTTGCACACGTGTTATTGTTAAACAAATGCGCAACATGTCAAAGGGTGACCATATGATTCATCTACTTCCTTGTTTACATTCTGCCAAGCTGTTAGGGCTTTTTGACGTTCGGACATTTCACGTCACATTTAAATCATCATTTAAATACGTTTGAATATTTTGTTATCTTTGTTCTGTTTGTGTCCTGTTGTGATTATTAAGGTGTGTTGGCGTTGTAGCGTGCGCCGTTATTATTTTTCGCGTGATTAAAATCGCGCGTGTGAGGCGCGTAACCGGAAGCACGGAAAATGGGTGAGTTTTAAAATTAAAGTGGACGATTAAAGAGTACGCGACAATTAGCGCCGGGGAAAAATTACACACTCGTAGTACTCGTACATAATGTCTATTCATTACTTTATTACACTTTGTAAGTTTTTTTCTTTTTTTTTCCTTTTTTTAATCAGCAAAATATGCGGGTTTCATAAATTTAACGTTATAGGTACTTAAATTCATTTAATACACGCCTGAAAAGTGATTCATTCATAATTCTTGAAGTCAATTTATGTTTAAGTTGTGTTATTATGATTTATTGTTGGTTTGGTGATTAATAAGGTGTTAATATGTGTCTATTGATATTGAACTTTAATGTTTAGCAGTATTTGCGACATTCTGCATGACATTTTGTGGTATTTGTTAATAAAATTTGAATGTTTAAGTGCACATTCGCGATGAAAGGTAGACGTTGGAGAAAGGGCTAGTCTAGGGCTAGGTTATTAGGTTAATTACATTTGATCCAACCACAATGTAACATTAAACTGACTTGTAACCCAATAACAGTGCACGACTTTATACTACTTAACATTTTGTTCTAAATTTATATTCAATTTATGTAAATATTTATTAAGATTTCATTGGTATGGTAAATCAATTCGCAAATATTTGATTTAAGCAAATATAGGGTAACTCCGTTGTGATGTGATTGATGTGTACAATTTGGTTGGTTTATATTAATTTTTTCTGTGTAACGACGAAAAATATTTTTATTTCAAGCAATTATGAGTTAGAATATTTTTTAAAGACACGACATCGATGGTAACATTTGAAATATTGTTGTGATTATGATCCCAACATCCAAACAAATTGCAATGCAAATTTCTATAACTTAAGCACGATTTTTTAGCTAATTTGTTGGGGTGCACGTTGTGTTATTACAAAATCTTTTAAACAAAACACAAGTGAATACAACTGAGCGACGCGGAATTCATATTTAGACTTCAGGAAATATTTACCGGCATTTTTACTATAGTAATTGAGTTTATAATCAACTTACAAAAGATTAAACAGTTGCCAATCCACGTAAAATCTCAGTATTTGTTATTTTCTATGATATAATTCGAATATTAAGTTATTCGGGAATTTTTATAGGATAAAAATCAATATTTTTTTTAATAAAATGCATAAGTTTACTTCAAAAAACCGCAATTTCTATGAAAATATTAAATTTTCAATATTTCCAACTATACTATATTATTAAAAAATACATTTCCGCTTTTATCTGCTTAAGAATTACTAAAAACTTGTAATTTTACTAAAAAAAACTTCAATATTTTCTTATATTCTAGTTCCTCGATATAAAATTATCTCGATATAACGTGATAACATACGCGTTTTGATAGTAAACAGGTTTTTTATGTTTTGCGTCACTATATTGTGAGCATTTGCATCATTGCAGAATGCGTGAGACTTTCTTTAGTAACATTAACGCGCCTGCGCCTACAACTTTAGTTGAAACCTAATCGCGTCTACGTTCGCCCATTCACTATTAAAGTTGAATCTGTTTTGGAGTCTGTCCTTGGCGTTCCGCGCCGGCCGGCCCGGGTATATTACCATTTCGATTACATCAACTTGCCGGCGACGCTGGCCACGCTGCTGAACAGAATTTATAATTATGTTTTATTGCTTCTGCAAAAAGGAAGGTTGTTAGTCTTGATTTTACATTCCCACTGTCATAAAATCATATACCTACTACGCATATATCACTATCAAAACTTATTTTACAACCAAAAATACTGAAAAAAGTTGTATTTTATGAAGAAAATTAAGTTTAAACAATAATTATTCACTTTAATTAATGAAACAATGAATTTTGAGGCCAGAAATACGTTTTTACACGTTTTTGCACTTTTAAACATCACAAACAACAGTGACAAACGACATCTTTGTGTGTTTTTGTAATTAGGACGTATTTAAAAGCAATCATTGTGCGCTTGTTGTTTCAGCGTACCTTTTTTTTGATAAAATAACATTGAAGTGCAAATATTGATGAATACAATGTAACATAGTAATTGATGACTCACAAATAACATTTACCTGTGTACTATCATCAAGGAAATGCTTAGAGTTTTATCATTTCACGCTCATTTTTATATCCTTTCCTAGAAGACCACTAACTTCTCATTACTCACTTGTGTAACTATAGCTAAACTTGTTTACTCACATGTACCACGTGTAATTAAACAAATTTTAATTCAAACAGTCATTAGTCTTGTGAATGAACAAAAAAACAATTGTCTGTAATAACAAAAACAAACAATAGTTCTTGACATAATTAATAATTAGAACTAGAACATTATCTTATTTCGTATTAATTGATTTATTATTGTTTCAGGTGTTGCAGCGCCAGGTAGTTGATTAATTCCAGTTGAAAAACATGGCGAATTTCATTGTGGCGGCGCTGCTCTTCCGAGTGGCTCTGCCACTCATCATATTAACATGTAAGTTATAAAATTATGTCATGAAATTACACTATCAGACGCGCAGACCTTCAAAATCACACATTGCCGACCCGAGCGCGACTTTACGATAACAGTAACACTAATTAGCCGCTTCCAGCGCGGCTACGTTGCATGTTTCAGTCATGAATCTATGATTGGACTTATGATGTCACCTCGCATACTGTTTTGTTGTCGTTAGTTGCGTTAAATTCATTAGAAACTAGTATTTTGTGCAAAAATGCATTTTTTACTGTTTGGAGAAATGTAACTATGTGTTTACCGTGTGCTAGTCATAGTTATTTATAGATTTATATGTTATATTAAATAATTATAATAATAACTTATCAGTATCGGTCGTATCGTTGAGTCAAACATGTTACTTTTAAAATATGCCGACGTTTTATTTTTTATGCGCGTCTTACTTATTTTTATGGATTAACAGATAAGAAATTTAAATTTACTTAATTATGTTTATGTGAAATTAATGAAAATATTTTTTATGTTTAAATTTGTAATGAGAACAGATGTAATTCTTCCAGAAAATGAAAGATTTTTGAGTGTTTGTGTAGTAGGCGCGTTTATTTATATTGTTCGGCTGAATTTAGACTTTTTGGAATGTTGAGAATGTTATGAACGCGCCGTCATTTCACTATCCCGCTGAATATCTATATTCCGCCGAGCGTGGCATGATGAATAAGCGAAATCCCTTCCTGGGCACTTAATTCGCCACCCCCTTGGTATAGATTTGTTCAGCAGGGCAGTTGGACAGTCCATTGTCGCTGCGCGCAGGGAGAGTACGGTGCGTGCACTATTTTGCGGTGTGGCGGCTAAAAAACAAGATGATACACGAAAAAAACAAAAAATTTCCTTGTTTTTCATTAAATTTACACAAAAAATTAAATTTTTTAAATTTTTTCAACAAAATATTTGATTACTTTTAATTTTTTATTTATATTTTGATGTGGGACCATTTATTTTGTGAGTTTTTCTCGTCACACGCTGTTGATGACATGAGGCATCTATCTAATTTACTAAATGCCACACGAATAAAGTTCCCCGTGCTCTTTTCACTTTCCTTTCGTCTGCGCCAACACACAACCGCACCTTTATATGGAGCACACTGTGACACCCTAAAAAAAAAACTCGGTCAATAGCACACGGCGACACATTTGCCAACATACCATGACATGTCCATCAACTGGGACGTGCCTTTTTCCTCCCCTTTGTTTTCTTTTTAATGTTTCTTTTCTTTTAACATAAATTTATCATCTTTTAGGTGTGGTATTTCGACCATGTGTCATCTCGGGGGTGTACCTGCTGTTTATGCTGATATCAGCATCACTTCCGGTGCCCACACGTGCGTCCATGAATGGAGCCACCGGCGTCTTTCTAAAACTGCTTATTATGATCAGTTTGATGACATCACTCGGCGTGATTGTCTTCCATCTGTTGATGTTGTTGCATTTTGCTCCGTATGGCGAATTTCTCAAACCATGCGAGCTTGTGGAACGCATTATACGCGCCGTGGGGTTGGTTAAGTTGGATGCGTTGGATCCGCAGACTGTGGTGCTATGGCTGGCGCCGGAAGTTGTCATGCTGATCGCCGCCATTGTTTTCTTTGTCATCTTTTCGAAGATGACGCGTCCTGCACAAACTGAGGACGGGATTCAACTGCAGGAGGTGATTGTGAATAAAAAGACCAATGTCAAGTTGTTCATTAACATTGGTAAGTGATGAAAATATTGAAATTTTGAATAATTAAGATTTTATGATTGATTTTTGTAGGAAAAGCAATTGTGATATGTTCATTGTGCCTAGCGTCGATTCTCAAGCCGTCAATCATAGGCGGTTTCTATTTTTTGATATTCCTGTCGACCGCCACGTGGTTAGGCAGTTATCGATCCCTGGAGAAGGGTTTCGCCATTCTGCTGAAATTCCTGATGGTTGTGGTGTTCTTTCACATCTTTACACTGTTTGCCTATCAGACGGAATGGCCACAGATGTACTTACAAGATGATAGCAACTATGCAAGGTTAAATAACCTAAAAATTCACAATTTTTACAATTTTAAGTAATTTTAACATTTTAGATGGTTTGGCCTTACAAAGTTGATGTATGTCAACTGTGATGGTGACCCAAGGGTCTTTGAATACACCTCGCAGCCATGGAACGAATACGTGAACATCCTCTGCCTGATATTTTTGTATTTTGTAATGGCGGTGATGTCCAGACAGCTACTCACCCAGTCCACACTTGCGGTACGTATTATATATTCACATATTAATCATTTTAGATTATTTATGCTCATAACAAACTAAAATTAACCAACTAAATTGGTGTGACACGAGAAGGAGGAGGATTTCTGTGTGTTTGACTCTATTTCTGTGACCAGCAGCCAGCGAAAAAGCAGGGCAACTTTTCACGCTTAGAGGGTAGCTTTAGCCGGCGCCCGCTCAGTCGGCAGTTATCACAGCGTCTCTCCGACAGACGTCTTCGACGCTCGGCGACGCGCTCGCGCTGGCAAAACGCCACGCGCAAAGTTCGCGTAAGGACCAGAAACAAAACGCTGCACGAACCTCCACGTGGTGCTTTTACTAACACACACTTTACCCACACATCCTTAATAAATTATAACTTCCACCTCCATAATGGTGGTGGTCTGGCACTTTGGTTTGGTTTTAAATTTTGTGTGATTGTTTTTCGATTTGCTTTCGTTTTCGACACAGTTTTGTTATTTGCTTGTCTTTTTTCCGGTGGATTCTTGTAGGATCGTAAGGTACACCGTACCGGGCGAACGGTGGGTGAATCCACGCCAGTACGTATGATTTTATTTTGATTTGTCCGCAAAAATCCTTTTATCACTTATCATATATTTATTTTCAACCTAAATTACATAAAAATAATAAACAAATGTTTTTCTAGTTAATGCACGATGGTAAACCAAAGTTATACACTTCAAAGGGTCCCTCCATGTTGCAAGACTCTACCGGAAGTGTCATCATCTCGAATGATAACGATATTCCCATGCGGGATGTCGAAAGTAAGTTATTTTCGCACACGGTTAAAATTTAGCTCAAAATTGCTTTGAACTCAATTGGCTATTGCACAATCTTATATAAATCGATCCGTACATTAGAAACAAACTCTGAATTAGCTGAAGACGACCATGATGACTTCGAAGAACCCCCGACGTGTTTCGAGAAGTTCGTCTTCGCCTGCGAATCTCTCCTGATGTTTATCATTAGAACATCCTACATTGGTACGAATATTATCATGATGGCATGGAGTATCACATATCACAGCTGGATCACGTTTGTTCTGCTCTTGTGGTCGAGTATTCTCTGGATGGTACCCAATCAACGCAAGCACATGTTGCGTTGTAGTCCAGTCCTGGTGCTGTACGCCTGGTTTCTTTTGATATCCGCGTATATCTATTCGATGAATCTGACTGAAGATGAACTGCCTTCGAAGATTGATGGTTGGGATATGTCCCAGATTGGTTTCATACGCAACATTGAAGCGCCTTATAAATCACTGGTCATCAAGTGTCTTTACACTGTGATGTTTTGGATTACTCTCAGGCAGTTTATGAAGGAACGGATTGAAGCCCGGCAGAGTTCTGCGCTTGCGGATATGGTGGCTCCTGTGCAGCTTACTGTTGGTACAGCTACAGGTGAGGATGATTTGTTTTTGTTTGTTTTTTATTGGCAGTAATTTATTTTGAAGATGTTCCCATTTTTGGTATGTTGAATGTAGGCGTAGGTAAGCATTGTGCGTTTGTGTTGTCTGGTTGCAGGGGTTGAACATGTGCCGCGTTTCTTGACCGATGGTCAAAAGACGCAAAAGGTCTATCCCGAAAAGCTCAGCGAGCAGGCCGCTTATTTAGCAGCCAATACAGATAGTTTAAGTTTAAAAACGTCCGTGCCCGAAGGTACCACTTTTCAGTCTTCCGAATCTCACAGTCACAGTTTTCTACGTTTTTGATAGTTCTAGCAATATATTTATATATACATAGAATGAGCAATACTTGTAAATATCTACTCGCAAGGATCTCTGACCATTTTGACTACATTTCTTTCTAGTAATGCACAATCTTAAACATTCAACTATCATCAAACATTATTTTATTTTCATCTTTTTAGATAAATTTTATTTGTGTATTGATTGTGATGATTTTAAACTAGGTCCTCTACCACATGAGCATCCAGAAGAGAATGAGACCATGAAGAAGGTCGGCCATTTTGTGAAAACATTCCTCACGAAGTTCTGGATCTGGGTGGTGGCGATCACGTTGTTTTCGGTGGCTATCACCGGCGAACGCATGACCAGTTTCCGTATTCTTTACATGGTCCTTTTCCTTGTCTTCCTGCTTAGTTTCCAGTTTTCCTTCCGCGTGTGGCGCAAGATTATGTTCGGTTTCTGGCTGACCGTCATCATCTACTCCATGATTATCTTGGTGCTCGTTTATACATATCAATTTGACGACTTTAACAAATACTGGACTGAATATCTTCATGTATCGGAACAGCAGTAAGTTGATTAGTGATTAATTAAAGGTATGTTAATAATATTTTATTATTTTTGCAAAAGACAATTGGATATTGGTTTGGAAAAGTACGAAACCAAACAGTTGTTTGTCCGACTAGTAACACCGACGTTTTTTGTCATTATTACGGCGGTGCAATTGCATTACTTCCACAAGGATTTCCTGGAACTGTCTAAACCCAATTCTGGAGTGGTGGATACAACAAAATCTGAAGCAGCTAGTTCCGCACAGGGTGGAATGGCTGCACAACCTCCAGATGATGAAGATTCTGAAGATGATGAGATTGATTTAACAGACTTAGAAAGTATGAGTTTTTTGGTATATCTTTTAGGAAATAAATTGACAATTTGTGATTGTAGATGTCTCCGCTCTGCAGGTGCAACGAAAGTTTAAGAAATTCTGCAAACGAATGTACTACGCCATTAATCTAGCTTGTTTATTTATGGAATTACACTTAGCCAAGTTGGTCATGTTTGTGGGGATATTAGTAGCTACCAAAGATGTCTGCGCAGTGCATTTTACCATCGTGGTTCTAATGGTACTTGGTACTACGATCGGCAACAAGATGCTCAACGTCTGCATCTATTTAAGCAGTCTGCTTGCATCTGTGATGTTAATCACAAGAATGCTCTACCAGATTGAGTATATTCAGCATGATATTTGGAATGTTACATGTGATGTGTGTATATTTCACATTTTTATGTTTTCTTTACTTACGAAGTTTGTATTTAGGTGATTATTGATAATCAGACGAAGGTACTTGAAGGTAATACCGCTCAGTGGGTGGGTTATTTCAAATTAGCACACGGTAGAGATTTACCTGAAGCTGTCAAGTGGAACATTGTGATGATTCTAATGGTGACCCTTTGGTGTGTTATCAATGTACGCCAGCAGAGTAGGCGCGAAAAGATGGGACATCCTTCACGGCGGCCATATTTCATGTTCCCGAAGATACGCATCACGAATGCGGATACCAACTTGAAAACATACATCAAATATCTTGCGAATTACATGTTTTATCGTCTTGGAGTTGAGGTCAGTGGAGAATTTTATGATTTTTCGGGTTTATATTTGATTGTATGTTTAATTTCAGATTTGTCTTATTGCTACAGTAGCAGTGATTGCACTTCGAATGGATTTATACGCGCTTTTATACGCTTTCTTCCTAACAGCATACTTTATGATGTCGCGCACTACATTAGCACGCTTTTGGAATGTGTATCTTGGTACCCTTGCCATTGTCATTCCCATACAATACTTCATGGTGATTGGACTTCCTCCAGGAGTCTGCATAGGTAATAATAATTTGTATGATTTAAAATTGATGTTTCCATATGTTTATATGTAAATTATTATTAGATTATCCATGGGACAACAGTGATATTCTGCGAAGTCTACAAGAGTGGGGATTCCTACTTGATCGCCAATACCCACCACCTGCTAAAAAGATTTTGTGTGATTTTGCTCTCCTCATACTTGTTTACCGACAGTCACTTGTGTTCCGCATTGAGAAACGCTACGCTAACACAGAATATGCGGGTGGGCACAATCGCAGCGTCATTGAAGATGCAGAAACCCCGAACTTTGAAATACCAGTGCCTGATTTCATCACCTACAGCCGAACTTATCTGGATATCTTTAAACGAATTGCATTTTTACCACTTATTTGGTTTACGCTTGCCATTGTATTCTTAGCAGGGACAAACCGTGTGAACATATTCTCCTTGGGGTATTTGATTGGATCGTTTTACTTCTTGTGGATTGGAAGCGACATTTACCTCAGACCTATTCCAATCATATTAGAAAAATGGAATTATTTAATATTGTACAACGTGCTTGTGATTCTCATCAAAGTCATCCTACAGTTTATCGGCTGTGTGTTTTTCGAGGCTATCAAAGACAACGCATGCTGGGTGATACAAATATTAGGCATTAGTTGCCTGAGGAAGTTTAAATCGCAGTTACCACCGGCGTTGTTAACCGACCAGGAATGTGAAGTACCAAGAGAGTTTGTTGGCCTAGCCTGGGATGGTGCCTGTTTTGCTTTTCTTATTTTAATGAGGAGATTGTTTAACAGCTACAATTTCTTCCACATTGTCAACGAGAGTAAGGCGTCCGCCATTTTGGCATCGCGCGGTGCAGAATTAATAGAAGAACTGCGTCGGAAGAGGATGACGGAACAAGATTCAGCTGAGAAGAGGATTATTCAGAAGATAAAGACGAAAATGGATCGTATTAAGGCTAATCAACAGAAAATACTTGGACCTACCTACAAAGACCCGGAAACCCACTTTATAGGTATGTTTGTATGATTATATATTATTACTTTTCAGGAGGTAGATTTTTATTATGTTTGGGATGTATAAACGTGTTGGCAATGTCTTAGAACAACCAAACATGACGCGCACACCTTCAATGACCTCGTGTGTCTCCGGCTCGCAACATACCACCACACCTGCTGGGTATCACACGCCTATTGACGAAGAGGATGAAACTGAGCCGCCTCCACAGACACCACAAACCACTACCAACTCCCAACTTGCCACAAATGCACCTTCACCTTTCTCTGCTATTATGACTGGGTCCCTCGATGCTTACCTTGACCCACAACGCATGTCCTTCAGTAGTCCCCCGAATTCCGAACTTAACCCACGTCCTCCTAGTCCTGATGATAGTTTTCCGGTATTTTCTCCACCTCCTTATGATGATGCGCCTCCGTATGCAGAGGTGAGCGAACAGACTACAGTTGTGGAACGTCAAGAGAGTATTATTGGACCACCATGGATGCATGGAAAACTATGCACACCGCGTCAGAGTGTAATTTCCTGCTCGTCCAGATCACCCATGAGCCATCACACATGTAATTTGGCTCCAAATTCAAAATTATCGATGTATTTTGATTTTATTCAGCACTATAGCGTTTTTGGAGTGTGAGCAAGCGACGTCTGTAAATTCGCCTCGTGATTTTTATTTCTATCTGTATATATCGCCGCCATTTTGCTTCCTCTGGGATATTCTCTTGTTTTATAGATTCAATTTATCCCAAATCTAGGCCAATGTATAGACATACGGAACCAAAGTCTTACAAACGGGGTAATTACACACTTTCAATAATAACACTAACACTAAACACAATAACATACCATCAATAATTGGAATTGTAAAGTTGCACGTTGTAAATTAACTTTGGAATGTAAAATTGCTTGATATGCATGCAAAATCTTTGATTATTTATCTAAATTGTATCTAATTGATTATTTTTGTGTAGCAATTCGTTCGGGTGATTACTACATGTTTGATGACATCGAAAATGAAGAACTCGACATATTTGAAGATATTGCAAAGGATTCTGATGATGAAGACATGAGGGAAACCACTTCCCGGACGCATATTACAGTTGGCGAAGTAGGTTTACCATTTTTTGAATTTGGTAGTAGCTTGTAGTTGGGTTTGTCTTGATTTTGATTTGTTGCTGATTGATATACTAACAATAATCATGATCTCTTAACACTTGGGGTTTTTATAGCTGATAAGTAAGTCGCTTAAGGACAACGTAGCGTCGACGCTCAGACAACAGCGTCGCTCGAGCTTGGTGGAGCGCGGCCGTTCGTCGGCGTCGCAGCTTTCGGTGCCGTATTCGGCGCCGCCGGCTGTAAGCACGGAAAGAGTACGTAATTCATCACATTCATTTTGGGTACCATTTAGTTGATATTTAGGATACGGCACGGTGGATTTCTAGCAACTTTCCTAGCTTCTCCTTAACTCTTGTTGTCTTATTAAAAATTGTTATGATGAGTTTTTAATTTATTTATGTCATTAGGTTTCTCGTGGGGTACCACCTGATGATGATGATGCGTTTGATCAACAACCAAGCACGAGCAAGTCTTTGCAAGAGTCAGAGGAACCTACAGAACCACGTAAGGAAACATTCCTGATAGATTCTTCTGAATTTTTATATATTTTGTTGTTTTTTAGCAAAAATAAGTGCAAAACAGAAACTGGTCAATGCCCTGCTCTTCGCTTACAAGTTAATCCAGAGTTTAATGTACAGCGCATCTCGATTTATGTACAAATTCTCCAAAGATCATCGTTATATCCGGCGAATGTTAAGCAACGAGAAACGCGTCCTCAAGGAGACAACCGACTATACAATTGGTACCCGCTCAGCACCAAACTTTGTCTGGGAACCAACATTCAACTTTAAGACCCTCATTGTTTCCGGGTAAGCCTCGAACCCTTAATCCCGTAATGTTATTAACATTTGTGTATGTGTGTGTCCTGTGTAGTGATGATGATGACGATAATAATGAGCATAATATGCAATTGTCGTCGGTTGGAACGTGTAGCCCGTCTGATTCCTACATTCTAGTGCTTAGTGATCAGAGTAGCAGGTTAGACTTTGCATGCGTCGCGCACCTAGAGTTTTCAAGTTTATCACACCCTCTATATATACATATTATCTATAGTTTTTGTTCTCTGATGATGATTTGAACCGAATTGATTTGTGTGGTCTGATTTGACATCCAGGGTGATAGAGTGTAGTAGCAACAGTGATAAGGTGGTGCATAATGCTGAGTTAGATACTAAACCGCATACCCTCGCCACGCCAACCAACAACTACGCAGCTACGCAGGAGAGGTACATGCCCTTGATGAAATCTTGCCCCAAATTTTTGTAAATTTTTATATTAACTAGTTGCCCCCTAGGATAGACCTGAGTCCTTTGAATGTGTATTTTGCTCGATATTTTCGACAGTAGATTAGTTGAGCTATGTATGTTTAGCTTTAGGCGCAAGGCGAGTGTGTTCACAATACCGGAAATTCGCATCCTAGCACCGAGCATGGAGCGCGGACTAGATTCGCCCGGCAGGTAACCAATTGTGTGTGTGTATGTGTGTGTGCGCACCTCTCTGGCTTTGTGTGAAGTGTTTTTGCTGGCAGTACTAAACCAATTTTTCTTTTTCAAAATATATGTGCACATTCTCATCATTTCTGGGTATTGTATTCCTTTTTGGGATGGATTACTGATGAATTTTGGCGTTTTCTAGTGATTCAAAGGAACAGGAGATGTCTTCAGCCGATCAACCAGTGTTCTATCAACTGATGCTCAGCATCTGGTACATTGTCCTTGGGCACTCTGATCTCTTGTGCTACTTCATCATCTTCTTGAATCAGATCAAAAACGCGACGTTTATTTCATTACCCCTACCGTTGATGGTATTCCTATGGGGTACCCTTACTGTACCAAGGCCTAGTAAAATGTTTTGGATTACCATCATTGCGTATACACAGGTGATGAGTTGAATTAACAACAGAATATTAATGAAATTGATTTTGATTGTTTTTAATTACAGATTATTGTGTTGATTAAATGTATGTTCCAATTCCAAATTTTGCCTTGGAATCAAGCAGAAACTGGTGCTGTGGACATTACCAGTATGATTGGCATTGAAAGAAAGAAGAACTACGCTCTTTGGGATCTTATTCTATTGTTGGTTGTGTACTTCCACAGGTAAAGTTAAAGTTATTTGCGGTTGACCCGCAAAAAGTGGTGGTGGTAGATTACATTATGTTGTTTTCCTGTTTAGATATATGTTGAAATGCCTGGGTCTATGGCAAACACAAACCGATCCTCCTGATGTCCTAAAAGACGGCCAATACGTTCTCAAGAGTGATGGTGAACTGGTTTCTGTCTCACCTTCAACAAAGTAAGTCCACCATCTTTTTAATAATATACTATTTCATTTATTATATTATTATTTTGGTCCGGTTGTTTTTCTTCTCTGCTTTTGATTGTATTAGTGCTACAAGTGTTCAACTTGAATTGAGACGCAGTCAATGGACGCTCGATAATCAAATGACGTTGATACGTATTGTTCGCGAACCGCGCCGGTTAAAGAAATATTATCGCTTGCGAATAAAGAAACGGTCGAGGTGGATATACTCGGATGTATGGAATCCCAGGCGTTGGACAGCGGCGGAGGCCTGTTATGGATTCGCCAGACGGTGCCATCATTTGTATTTCGATACAACTTAAACTTATGTTGTTTTTGTTTTCCATTTTCAGACATCACATTGAGAGTTCTTCTCATGAAACAGCAGAGGATGAAGTAGTTTTGCTTAGTACTTCAACGGCTGCAGCAACAAGCATGTTTCCATCTTCTGTTAAAATGCTGTACGTAAATTAACCATATCATCATTTATTTAAAGTTTAATTAATTTTTCTTGTGCAGATTTGCAAAGTATAATGAAACACTGCACAACTTCTTCGTGCAACTGTTTGATCCGACGTCGCGGGTTGCCGCTGACGTTTATACGTACTTATTCTTGTGCGATTTTTACAACTTCTTTGTTATTTTAATTGGGTACTCATCATTTGGTCCGCAACAAGGAGATGGTGGTGTGACATCTTATTTGGCCGACAATCGAGTCCCAGTGCTGTTTTTAATCATGTTAATCATGCAGTTTATTTTAATCATCATCGACCGAGCGATATTTTTGCGGAAGAACATTGCCGCGAAGATAGTGTTTCAATTTTTACAGATTTTGTTCCTGCATATTTGGTTGTTTATTATTTTCCCGTACACTACTGGAAGGTAATCACATATTATGAAATATTTATGTTTTTAATGATTAATTATTAATTTTTAGGAATGTTAATTCGGTTATACCTCCACAAATGTACTACATGGTGAAGTGTTTCTATTTGTTATTATCAGCGTACCAGATTCGCTGCGGTTACCCAGCGCGTATTTTAGGCAATTTTATTTGTAAAGGCTACGGCATGATTAACATGGCGTTGTTTAAAGCATTCCTCTTGATTCCTTTCTTGTTTGAACTGCGTACGATTATGGATTGGATGTGGACGGATACGTCTATGACTGTTTTTGATTGGATTAAAATGGAGGATATTTTTGCACACATTTACCAATTAAAGGTACATCATCAATCACAACTCCTCTCAAATATGTATATTATTGTTACATTTTTATAGTGTTCGAGATATATGGAAGATGAATATCCGCAACCACGAGGTGTGCGGAAAGCAAGCACATCAAAATATGTAATGGGCGGTGGTTTGCTAATATTTATTATTGGTGTTATATGGTTTCCGTTAGTGTTCTTCTCTTTGGGTAATGCAGTTGGTGCTCCGAATGTTCCCTATGATGTTACTGTTTCACTCCGGTTGGGACCTTATGAAGCGTTGTATAAAACATCAGCACAGTCTAATTCTATTGATCAGTACGTATTCCCAAGAAGATTTAAAACATAATAAATATCCGCCATTTTGTTACCAATAGATTCACCGAAAATGACTTCAACGTGATGCAACAGAAGTACTACACAAATCAGTTAGCGTCAAATTACATCAATATCTACGATTACGGTGACATTGCAGCTGTAAAATTAAGTTTTGACTCCGCAACGGTGTGGAGTATCTCTCCACCTGACAAGGAACGCATGATTGAAGAAGTTCGCTCTGCGCCTGATTTTAAGTTCCAAATCCAATGTCAGTTCTCTCACATAACACATACAAAAGAAGATCCTGGTACAGCACGGGTAGAAAGTGAAAAGATTATTTATAATAAACCAAATTCTACGAACATCATACGAGAGAATCTTCTGGATATGTTGACTCAACCATCGTCAAATAAAAGCATTACGCTTGCGTATATGTTCCCCAAGTTTGTCAAAGTGACCAATAGGGGAACAGCGGACATTTTATCAGAGTTCATGGATAAATATCCAGGTATATGATACATTTTTTAAATTTATCTAATTGCAAAAATAATATTTGGGTGATTTTCTTGTAGAAATTGACGCGAGCAGGTTTAGAAATGTTACTTTGAAGCTCTCAACTGTTGATGATAAGTTGTGGTGGGAGATAACCGAAGAACAAACAGACCACAACTATCAGAAATACTTACAATATCTTCCATATGCGGATAGTTCTTCGTTTATGATTTACACCTTCAATGACAAGATCTACCCCGCGACTTTGAATATTATTACAGGGGGAGGGTGAGTTTAATCCTGTTGAATTTGAAGCCATCCTTGTAGTTGCTTACTGCCGCCATTTCCTTTTCTTCCTATTCTTATAATTTCAATCATTTATATCCTTAAATTACAGATTTTATCCAATTCTACATTCCAGAGAACCTCAATCCTGGCTGCCTGATGAATATTTAGTATAATTCTGTATTTATATGAAAATTTGTTATTATCTTTGTCAATAGCATCATAGGTCTGTACACCACGCTGGTGTTTGTTGCCAGTCGACTTCTGCGTGGCTTCTTCTCCGAGATCTGCTTCAAAATCATGTTTGATGATATGCCAAATGTGGATCGCGTCTTACAGCTCTGCGCAGATGTTTATCTTGTACGGGAAGCTGGAGAGTTTGCATTGGAGGAGGACTTGTTTGCAAAACTGGTGTTTCTGTATCGGTCACCGGAAACACTCATCAAATGGACACGACCACCAGAGGAGATTGGCGAGGACGAGGACCCCGAGGCCGCCGAATAAAACCTCCTTCCTTTTTTTTTTTATCTCGATTCATCCCAAAGTCCTCGTCCATACGGGTTTATTTTAAAACCAAAAGCGTTTGTATTGCGATGTTGTTTCAACACTTCCGCCTTGCTTCCTCGAGCATTCTAATGCACGCTAAACGCTATAAGTACTGATAGCCATTTAAATGTTGTTGATGTAATTCTCTCTTAATCTCCCTTATATCCTTAAATAATGTTGAACGTGTTTATCAGTCCTAGGGAACTACTCAGGTACAAAACATTTCAAGACAAAGTAAAGATTATCAGTTGTAATTGTCGCAAATTGTTAATAACCAAAAATAACCGATTATTCCTTTGTAGAATATTGAAATCGATAGTGACGGTCGTGATTTTGTCACAAATGTTCAAACGTATCCGCCGGATGAGCTTCAGTCCGTATGTGCTGTGGATAAAGGAAGTACCACGACCAGAATTGGTCCTGAACCTACTGCGCAATATAAATCTTGCCCGTGCGTTCAAGCTCTACCGGATGGAGGAAGATTTGTTCGCGCGATTGCTTTTTATGATGCGGTCTCGTGACATTTTCATACGATTTACGCGGTATCCGGTCTCCAGCGACTAACGACCATCTTTGGACCCTTTCGCTTGACTTGGCTTCGCTTCGTAGTACGTAACAAACTTACTTTAGACATTGAAAACCGCAATATATTTCTTTCCACGTGCAGGATTTTGTTTTTATGGGTGTACGTCGTATACCTGTATAACTGGTGGAGAAACGTCGCGGCTTATTATCGGAATATGACGTTTCGTATCTGGTTTCTGGATATACCTAATCCGGATCGTTTGCATCGCCTTTGTCTGAATGTCTATATCGCGCGCGAGTTTAAACATTACCAACTAGAAGAGACGTTTTATTCGGCGTTGATTTTCTTAATGCGTCAACCGGAGATCTTAATTCGCTTCACGCGCAACAATAAACTGTATACTACGTGCGTTTTAAGTTTTTATTTATCTGGTATGTCATTTTAGTGATCTTGGAGTCATGTTGTAATCAATATGATGGAAGGGTTCATGAATGGACTTCATAACCCGGTCGAGATTCCTCGACGCGTCCAGATACAACATGGATTCGCGATAGCTCTTCGGGTACACCTCCTGAACAGGATGCTGTACCTCAAATGTGGCGAGGAACGTATTGGTCGCTTGCTGTAAACCATCACGATCATTTTGAACTTCTGAATGCATTGCTACCTGAATATAGCGGTCCCGTGTAAAGGCCACTTGTGCAATCATTTTGAGAATTGATCCCGCCGGAATGGACCTGTACAATTTCACTTCAGTAAGGCCCCGGAGTTTGGCCCGCTGGTTACAGAATAAGTAACACGTTGAAAAGGCTAGTTCTATGGCGTGGCGTAAGATATAACCGGCAAATATAGAGTTGTGAATGTTTTTGTACTCTGGAAAGGTGACTATGTTGTTGGTCCTGAGGGTGGACCCGATCCATTTGTTCCCTATTGGGAGGCGCTCCTCGCATGAAAGGGAACCACCACAGGTCTTAAGAGCTAATTCCCGGAGGAGTGTGTGTTCTTTAGTAGATGGTACTTCACTTGTCACACTGGATAACGTCCGGTTTTGTAAACGACTCCGGTAACGTTTTGCGTTTTCAATAAGATTACTCTCCGCGGGTGAGTGTGGGTTTAAAGGATTGATGCGAGCTGCTGATTTGTTGTTAGCATCACGTACTGCCATGATTAGCTTGGCCTTCGTGATGTTTTTCCAATGGTCGCCGAATTGTTGGTCTACCCATACAACCACCTCGGCACTGGAGCGACCAGCATTTGCGATGTGACCGGAAATACGGATATCCACAGTTGGCTACAAGAATATTTACATCATTTACATTCAGCTTTAATGATTTATCACTTACTTTTGCAAGGAAATTGAATATTAGTGAATCTACCAAGATGGTTACCACCGTGTAGGGGACGGGTCCGAAATTGGAATTTTCGGATTCAAAATATACTTTTGCAGGATCATAACTGAAATTTTTAGATATAGTGTGTATTTCTGTGGGTGAATTAATGTTTATTTACCGGCGAACATGTCAATATCTTCAATAAGACGGCCATAACGAATATCTCCAGCAACGGACAAATATTTATCTTGTAACTTTTCGTCGGAGCTTAAAGGAATCACGCCAGAGAGAAAACTGTCCTGAACAGTTCGTGGAGGAAGGTCTGCGGTACTTTTTACCATGTATGCGTTGAGGTTTTCTCTGTCTTGAAAAACACTTGATTTGGCTCCTCTTCCGAGGCCCATGATTACTCGCAAATCATTTTTCACTGCAATAGTATTATGAATAGATTAGTTATATGATGATAAGGATATTGTGACTTACAGTCATCTATTTTGGTTCCACATTTCAATGGGGCTGTGATTCGAGGATGCATCAACTCTTTGCCTGCATATTCTTTTTGGCTCGGTATGCTATAATTAATTTTAATAGGTTTTGAGGGTTTGATTATGTATTAGAAATTGTTTTTACCGAATATGCATTTGTTGGCATTGGGACCGGAACAATGATATCGTCTTGAAGAGCATTTTGTACAATCCAATTAACGGTCAATTTAATAGTTATATTATATAACTGGGAAGTTATATAACGACGAATTTAGTTCTTTTTTGATGATTACACTACATGACACGATGAAATAATATGACTGAAAGAAAATGTTTTTTGCGTTGCCATCTTTTACAATATTTAATTAATTTTGTGTCATAAAAACAACGGTTGCATTAAATTATTATATATTGGTCGTAATCCTAATTAGTGCGCTTAAAGTTTAATAAAACATCGCAAAATATAAGTTTTATAAGTGTTAATATTAGTAAATAATATTAATTTTATTTAATTTAAGTTGAATAAGTTTTAAAATTAATTATTATGTTCAGTTTCAGTATTTGTTCATAGAAATTAAATTGTTTAAATTCATCCTAGCGTCCTCCAGTAGGGGATTGTAGAGTTATATTTAGAAATCATACTATTTATTTCACGCGAGTGTTGCATGCGCGTTATGTATTTTATTCCATGTACGTGTGAATTGTGCGCGCTTCACACGTACACGGTTTACGTGCGGGTAAATGCACTGCCTCATGTGCAACCACTTCTACCACACCCAAACAAATTACTTGTTGTGAGCGGATAGCTTTATGCGGCGTTTCATATTGTACTTTCTAAATCTACGCCAGAGGGCGCTTTGAGTCACAATTTAGTTGAAAATATTTCAAGGCTTCACTTAGTCGCGTGACCTCACACAACCGCGTGTTTTATTATTTATCTCTGTGCATCGGCGTTCGCAGTGATAACAAAAACGCAGTGTTTGTATACAAACTTTACTGATCTCAACATTTAATATTATATCGCAGTAAGTGTTGCTTTTTAATTTACTACTTTTAATTTCGTACAAATGCTTTTAAAATTCTTGAGTATTTAGTTCAAGCAATAGGTTCAGACTTTAATTTATTTATTGAAATAAATAATTATTAAGATTAATAAATAAATAAATAAATCAGTAATTACGTGAAATTAAGAAAACCAAATTAAATTTATTTTCGGTTATTTTAATTTAAATTACTTTAAAATGCTAGACATTACATTTTTATACGTAAATTTATAAGAATGTGTAAGGTAACCATTCTATTCTTTGCTGCGTGAATTGTTTACTTTTATTTGTTATCGGGTTTATTTTATCAACAACACCTCACACCACCGCATTCTTTCGTGCGCGTTTCGTACGCGTTTTGGGTTTGCGGGGTGAGAGGAAGACAACGCCGTCTTATCGCACTAACGCGCAGAGCATACTCTAGTCAAGAGTTTAGTCAATTTGCACGTCGCGTGCCGTTGTAACTTTGCAAATAAAATCGTGATAAATTCATCTGCAGAAAAGTGTCGCTACCAAGTGAAAATAGTACCACATCATAATTAAAAGTAAGACCTTTTCACTTCGTTTTCAAGTTTGATTTTTTCAATTTTTATTCTATCGTCTCTTCTTCTTCTTCTTCTTCTTTTGTAGGCATATTGCCTGTTCCTACTTCAGACAGGGTTTAGGTGGTCGCTCCATCTCTTTCGGGGTCTTCCCAGGGATCGCTTTCCCCTTGGCGATTTGTCCCTGGCTATTCGGACTATTCTGGTTTCGTCCATCCGTTCTATGTGTTCGTTCCACTCGATTTTGCGTCTTTTGCACCATTGTGTTATGTCTTCTATGTTGTTGCACGCTCTTCTGATGTCTTCGTTCTTTATCCGGTCGAGCAGTGTTTTGCCATCTATGTTTCTTAGTGTCCTCATTTCCGCGGTGGTGAGCAATCTCTGTGTGGTTGTCGTCTCTGCACGCGTTTCTGCCGAGTATGTAAATATGGGCCTGACTACTGCCTTGTAGATGGAAACTTTCGTCTCTGTTCTTAGATGTTTGTTGTCCCAAATCGTGTTCCTTAGGCATCCTGCTATTCTCAGGCCCTTTTCAACTTGCTCTGCTACTTCTTTTTCCACTCCTCCACTGCTGGATATGTTTATACCAAGATATCGGAACTCGCTCACTTGTTGTACGATTTGTCCATCGACTTCAAGTTTGCATCTTATTGGATGTGGTGCGATGACCATGCATTTTATTCTATCGTGATAGACTTAAATATAATAAATCCGACTTATTCGCGTATTTGTCTGCTTGATGCATTTATAGTCGAGCGACGCAGTGACCTGCGTTCAGCGTGCGAAGACAGGTTTCAGTTATCAGTTGTTTGTTTACTTTATACTTCGTTCGCGCTGCATCTACTCGCCGTGCAAATACAATATTTATTTTTACGTTCTAACTTATAATACAATATTTGGAGTTACTATAAATATATTTGAGCACGAAACGCGTAATATACTCGTAATTCATATCGCGTAATTCGGGTATAGGGTAAAAGAGGGTAATGGGGGTCACTTAAGGGAGAACTCAAATATAATTTAAATTATAAACAAAATACTTATTGCAATCGCTTATAAGCATTGTTTACTTAAATACCTATTATTTGCAATAATTTTCAGTCACTTTGACAATCAATTTTGGATATTATTAAAGTTTAAAAAAAAAAAAAAACAGATTTGACTCCCATTACACCGACATGCGGGTAATGGTGGTCACCCTGGGGACAATCGGAATCAAACGAAATCTAGCAGATATCGCAAACATAATATTCCGCAAAGTCCCACCCAGTGCATTTCACATGAGCCCATAGCCCAAATGAAGTGCTACGTCGTTCTACATTGTTGACACTGATGGTGCGCTCTGCGTTAGAGTTTCCATGCGGCTTCTAGAAAACGTTTCGGTTTTCCATCGCAGGAGTGTATACTGAGTATTTACTGTTCTTGCTATTATTTCTCTTTGTACTTAAATTTTCTTGCTGTTCCCAGATGACCTTCCAAGGTCACCCACAAGATGTCCAGGATTAGTCATACTTTCCTAGGAATGGGAACAGGTTTGAACATTGCTGCAAAGTTTTTACAATATTCCCAATAATTTTTAAGCTTTCTGTTACTAATTGTTCTTTCAGTTTGTTTTTCAGGTACATATTCGATATATTTGGACATTTTTGTAATTCGGGCGCGTTCGTTATCGGTTCATGTACTTTTTGTGTTTACTAATACCTCACACCTTCAAGTTTTAACTAATTACCTCTTCATATTTTTCAAATTATTCAATTCAAGGTCAATTTATAGATTAAAAAACTTATCCTGTTTAAATTTAACAATCCTACGTAATTTAAAACATATCTTGCTTTTCTTGATCCTTACCCATTCTTGTTAATAATTGTTTTTATTCACAGGTATAAGTGATAAACGTTATTCGCGAGATACCTGGAGAGGTGTAACGAAATACTCATTGAGTGCGGGTCGCGACGCGATCTATTTTAACCATTTTATAGAATCTCGATTAATTAGCTACCGAAGGAGGGTCGTGCCATGTCCCCTTTCACCTGTTAGGGAAAGTACGCGGTGTTTATAAATATTTATCCGAATATTCGACAAAACGAGTGCGGAACGCGATTAAAAATCCGAAAGTATCGCGTAATCCGTATCGCTCCATTACAGTGCGCGGTAAAAACGTCCAATTCCATGAGGGTTTGTACGGGGCCTCAACGGACTTCAAGCATCCTACCAGCGGTTTGGACTCAAGATTGTATTATAATACCAACGCCATAAGTAGTGAGTACACCTGACACCAAACTGGATGTCTTGTATCTTTATATATTACGCGTTATTCGCTATAGTCGCGCATTTACTCTAGGTTTCCGGTTTGTAACGCGGTACGCGATTAATCATCAAACTTTTTAATTAATGGGTAGCAATAAAATATTTAAGCAAAATTACTTGTCTGCTGTCACATTAAATTAAATCATCTATAATGAATGCACAACTGTGTCATTAAAGAGGCGAAACATCAAATATTTATAAATAAATTATAACATTACACGATATATAAAATGAAAATAATTATTACATTTCCTTTTACATAATATTTGATCACATAAAAGTTAGTTTGTTTGAAACAAATTCCCCGAGCGTGCAAGCAATATTTATTTGTGTATCTAACGTGAATTGTTATTAAATTGAGCGATAAAATTTTTTGAGACATTGTACGATATTTAAGTAACTAGGCAACATGTTATTGCATCTGCAATGTATGTTAGACCTAATTATTGAAAATTACTTCAATAGTTCCTTATGCATTTTGCACTACCACGAAAATATTGACAATTTCGTACATTTGAGTAAAATTTCTACTTATTCTATTAATGGTTACGAGCATCTACATTTGGATAGACAACAATTTTGCAAAGATTTCCTGGTGCAACATGAAAACGCCAACATAGCATTTTCATCTTTGGAAGACGCAATTAAAATTGATAATAATATCAAATACAATTACAGAAAATACATATTTATTTTAAATAATCCCGAAGAATTAAATTCGTTTTATAAATCAAATCTATTGACTTTTGTTAGAGATGTTTTAGTTATTGTCCCACATTATTATTACGAAAATGAAAATATCTTTGAATTTAGTTCAGAAAAAGTTACAAAATTTGATTTATACACTCATCAATTTATTGGTGTGATCGGAAACAATGATCCTATTTTATTAGACACTTGGTTTTCAACAAATTTCAGTTTTAAATTTAACAACAATTTATTTCCTGATAAAATTACAAATCAACTTGGGAGAGAATTTCGTGCACCGTGTTTTCATCATATTCCATACGTAGATTGTAGAACAGGTACAATACAACTACATCTTATTAATTAACAATACACTATTAATAATTACTCATATTAAAATTGTAGTAGGCCCCCCTTATGGCCCACTTTATAATCTGGTTATAAAGTATGCTGAAAGATTTAACTTCACATTGCGTACAACGCCAGTCGTTTTAAATCGCAAGTTTGGGCGTGTGTTTGGTAATGGATCTGGCTTTGGCATTCTCGGATCGCTTGTATCTGATGGCGATGATTATGCCGAGATATTTTTTGGTGGTATCGCTAATTTATACATTATGGATTTTATTTTAAGTATCAGATATAAATATGAAGTATCAGTGCCTGTCCCAATGTAAGTTTAAAATCAGATTTGAAAGAATTCAATATTTATAGTGTTTATTTACAGTATAAAATACAGTTATTTTACATTTGTGGATGTATTT